ATATTATTATTATTATTATCATTATCATCATCATTATTATCATCATCATCATTTATTATAATTTGGCATACTATTTCTGTATTATTATATTCTTACTATTTAGTATTAGTATTAATATTAATCTTTGACTTGTCCCATATCATGTATAATGATTCATGGATGAAATAAAATTGAATTGAATTGAATAACCTCCATTATCCCTCATGTAACTTAACTGTCTTTCAAAAGGGTACATATTACTTTTGGAATTAAAATTTTTAACAAACTTCCACCTAATATAAAAGAACAAGCTCATGAGATTAAAAAATTTAGGTCTGCTGTTAAAAAATTCCTATTTTTAAAGTCATTTTATTCATTGGACGAATATTTTAACTGTGACAACAATTAAAGTTTCAGATTTGTTACAGGTGGTAGCTGATAGCGCCTTATTGTTATAGATAATGGTTTTTGTTTCATATTGTATATTATTAAATTTAACTGGTATGACATTACACAGCTGTGTTGCAGTATGTGATTTACTCATGTTGACTATTTCTATATCCATTGGTGTTAAACCATGTAAGGATTTATGGAATGCTGAATAAATGAATGAATGAACCGAAGTCATCGTGTATTTAGTGCAAAATTAGTAAGTGAATAGAAGACTGGAACTTGGGTATATGGGACAGACTGCAATGCACTGATGTGTCGCCATTAATTCTAACAGTTCCCTAATTCTTTTACCTTAAAAGTCCTTATGCTTGTTTGATTTATGTTTTTTATGATGTACCTACTAGGCTATGGGCTGGTTAATCGAGGAGTGGGGTTTGATTCCCAACAGCGGTGAGATTTCTCTCTTCTACATAATGTCCATAACGGCTCTGGAGCTCGTCTAACCTCCCTCGCAATGGAAACCGGGTGGGTGGGGGGCAACTTTCCCCGCGGGTAACAGCACAGGTGTGAATCTGACAACTCGCCTCCAACTAGTGCTGAGACCAAGAATGGTGGAGCTATACCTCCACACTCCTGTATGTCTTCATCGACCGGTGCTTAATTAATTAAGCCATGTATAACCCTAAATCTCCTGTTCATCCAGTCCCCTGATAGCCTTCTATGCTACTCTTGTTTAGATGCCACATTGTGATTCAGGTCATATAAATGGACATTGATCCCATTCTTGCTATAGGGCTGCCAGGTTGCTGTAAATTATAGATATTTGTTACTGTATGAGCATTGATTTTTGTGTTTATACTCATATATGTTGTCTTGAATATGTTTTCATCATGTACCTTGTGTGTGGTTGAGTTCTGGGACATGACTGAAATAAGCAAGATATGAGTGAATGTTGCTGCTACTACTGTGCCCAATATTCTGGTACACTTTAGTTTATACTTCAGCAAGTCTGCTATCATTCTTAAACTATGTTCATGCCAGTTTTCCTTTCATCTCATTTAAACTATATATTGTCACACATTTCCTGTCCAATGCACCAAGAAATTGTCTCAAATTTGGATGAATATTTGTTGGGCACTCACTTTTTATACTCACAAATACAATTATTTGCACTTATAACATCTTTGGATGTTTCCTCTTCAGTGTTATACACTCTCGCACAGCTAATCTCGATGAAGTGTCTTCTGCTCTGCTCAGAACTCAACTGTCCTTAACTCTCGTCGAAGCAAAACTACTGACTGGTCTTGTCAGATACGAACTCTACTAGTCTCCTAGCCTCTTGTTGAAGTTGGACTGTTATATCCTGCACTTGGGCTGAATAGGGAACATCCTGTTGTAGGGTTCAGTTTCGCCCACTGCTATCCTAACGATTTTCTTGTTGCCACGGGGATATATGAGTACTGTCTCAAACAATTCGTTTGTAATGGTGGAAACCCCACTGTTAGACTTTCATCTCCAGGCCAACGATTTCCTAGGAACTGCTAGCCATTGACCAGTGATGGACATCTTATCACCTGGCTGATCTATATCTACAGCTTATTTTACTCTCGGAGAGTAGCGTCACCTACAGGATGCATGATCTGAATTTCAGCTAACTCCAGTTTCTGCTTGCATAATGCATGGCAGGCTCTGACATCACTCTGCAGAATTTAATTATGTTTGCAAGAGTTCTTCTCTTTTTATTTATTTCTTTTAATTGTTCCACAAATTCTGTGAAATTACTTAGCTTTGTATTTGTAATTGNAAAATGATTTGCTAATATTGCAAGCTTGCTAACTGCTCTACATAGACCAGCATGAGTCATTAAAGAAAGCCTGATCATCTGTAAAGAGGACTGTGTTTAGAACTGTCACCTATGTTTGAGTTCATCAATAAATATATTGAAGAGTGCTGGGAACTTGGGGCATACTTGTTTAACATGTATTTCTTTATTGCTAACCGATGTTCTGTTGTAAACTTTTATCCTTGTTATCAACATACAGGATTTGAACAGTGTTAACTATGTAAGGGAATCCTGTTTTTCATTCTAGTCCAGCTTCTCAAAGTGCATTTAGTGACCAGACACGTGGTTTGGATTGATAATTGGATTTACCTGACTCTCTGAATTCATAACTAGAAATAACTATAACCATTTCACTAATTTACACACTTTACCATTCACTACAGCATGCACTAAGTCATCTTAGTCTGCTGTCTTCACCAGTTATAGCTTGGTAACGTCTCCCAATGCAGTAGATTGCTTGCCTTACGGGTTAAACAGCTGCTGTCCTTGCTGGCTGCCCGCTATCTCACAATTGATTCAGGGATGGGGAGATGCTTTACAAGTGGCAGTTAACCACCATTCAGTTAGTCTTGGTGCCAAACTTCTTGAGGCTCCTGACCAGTCTTTCCCCCTTCCCCTAAATGAACCCTTGCTGTCATAGTCCTCATGTAACATCCTCTCTGACAAGAAAATGGATTTGTCTCTAATGAACATGTAACCTTGTGTATCGAGGCTTATTCAACTATCATCATTCCACACTAATTCACTATCTCCATTTAAGTCTACTTAATATTCCATTTATATCACATTCCTACCAAACCTGAGCTATCCTTTGTGTTGTACCGAACTCCTGAGAATACCTTATACCCTCTCACTCACTCATGGAGCTGAGCCCTTCTTGAGAAGCCGCCAACTGTGCACCTACTCAAGAACTTCCCAGCCTTTTATGGAACTGGAATGTTCATTACTGTGTTCAAAAGAGCCCTCCAATGGTTCCTATCCTCAGCCAGATCAATCCAATCCATACCATCCCATTCTACTTCTCTAAGATCCACTTTAATACTGTCTACCTACCTATGCCTTGGTCTTCCCAGTGGTCTCTTTCTTTCTAGCTTTCCCACCAATATCCTATATGCTTTCCTCTTCTCTCCTATTCATGCTACAAGCCCCCACCACACCTTACACTCTCTGCATAGATTAATTATCCTACCTTCCCATAATAATCACCAGTTAGAAACAACACAGCCATGTCTCTTAACCTGTGTTATAGTGATTTGTCAATTGAAGAATGTCACTATCTACCAAACTGTATGTTTGTGTATCTCTTTACAAAATTACAGAGCATCACATCCAGAGGACAATAACCTTCATAGTTACCACCACAAGGACCTCACATTTCATTAACTGTATTTCAATCTCACATTGCAGCTCACATATGATATATTTTTTTTTAAATTACTATACCTACAATATGACAAATGACTGATAAATCAAATTTCTGTTCTGTGCAAGACATCCAAAAATGAAATAACATGGTCTGGTATGACTGTTTTAGGGCTCCACATTATCACAGTCTTCAAGTATGCTCTTTTTCCAGTCCTCATAACTTTGTGAATTGGAAGAATCAGGCAGTGCCTTCCTGGAGGGTGGTGGAAAAATTTGTTCCATTCCTGAACCTAATGAAAGAAAATTATGTCATTAGTAGGCAGGTTCACCAGATCTTTTCATGCAATATCATAAAATATGTATAAGTCTGGATATACTGCTATGAAACAGAAGGTAATTAAAAGATACTGCTACCATCTAAAATGCAATGCATTTACATGATAATATCCAACCTACTTTAAGATCTACTTCTGAGACAGCTGAATTTCAAAAGGAATCTCACACCCACCTTACATACCCACTGAATCTGACACATTTATAGTTCTTTCTACAGGGTTCTGACTTGTCCAAAGCAAAACATAAAATTGCATATACTTCGAATGCATTAAGGTGACATGTTCTTCCTCTTACAGCTATATTTACTTCTAGAAGTGATCCCTGTGTCATACTATAGAAACACTATTACCTACCCATACTTTTCAATTGGCTTCTTGGGTTATACTCATCTTCTTCAACATTACATGATGATGACTTGTGGCTGAGATGAAGTTCTTTTGCATATTTTTCAAAAGTGTTTGCAAGTTTCAGAAATGCTGACTTCTGGATATGGCTCATTTCCAAAAGTTTTGCACGGTCCACTTTCAGCTTGCAATGCCTGCAGGCAAATAAAACAATACCATTATGTGAAGGTCAGTGGACAGAGAGGAGTTGGCTGGCTGTTATTTAACGACACTGTATTAACTGCAGAGATAGGTTAGTACTGAATTAAATCATTATGCATGGTGAACTGGAAAGGAGAGGGGGAGGAAATAGCCGTGGCCAACTTCAAGGCATTATGCTACTGTTCTTATGAAAGAGTGAGGAAGACCAGGAAAAAAATCAGAAAGGAGTGCTCCAGCCAAAGTTCAAAATGGGCATCTTCCACATAATTATTAGAAAATACTTGAGGTTACATGTTCATTAAGAGGTTTGGAAATCATCCTTAAGAGTACAGCACATATTACTGACTTTATATGGATTACATCCAACTGTGGGGTTTTGTGTCGTGTCATTACTTTAATGACAACCCACTTCTTCAGAACAGTTTGTACGTCCTGAAAAGGACCGTTGGTTGCAGTGTGTTGAGGCAGCTGAGTCAGTTGACTGGCCGCAGTGCGGCCGTTGCTGGAGGTTGCTTGGTTGTTGGAGAACATTCGCTAGCCGAGCGCGGTTGCAGGAGTGGAGAAGCAGTAGCTACGCCAGTTGCCCAGCATGTCGGGCATGACTACCGGCGAATTGAGGCGGCCGAGTTGCCCAGTGAGTCGGGGGTGTGACCGCCGGACAGCTGAGGCGGCTGTTGTTGCTTGGTAGCATCTTCCAACTGCGGCGGACATTACCCTTCCTCTGGGTTCCCAAATTGTCTCTGACTTCAGCTACCAGCTTCTCACAGCAACAGTACACACAGACTGTACCACAGAAGTTATTACTAACTCACCCTCTCTCTCTCTCTCTCTCTCTCACTCACTAACTACACAACTTCCTCACTAATTTGTCATGTTCATCAATATTAGTTAAACAGAATTAAGTGACATATGTGACCAGAGTCACGTGCAATATGGTGCATCATTAATATGGCTACTTCAACAAAATCCAGTCATGCATGGATTACTCACACAGTGTTCAGCAGAATGACCACATGAACATATAGTACAAAATGGAACTGGGTTTGCAATATGCCTAATGCAAGGGCAGCACAAAACATAACACAGGCTCAATACTGGCCATAAACATATCCCACAGGCTCACTGAATAAATTAAATATATACCTTGCCCTCATATAAAAGCACGCACATACAGAGGGGCAAGAGCACTCCCAGACAGAGTTTTCAACAGACATGAAACACATTTTAACCAAAATTAACACATATTACAACGAAACATAATTTTGAAGAGACAACCCAGCACACATTTGCTTGCTATGTCTCCTGCAGAAGGTGAGAGAGCTTGTGTTGCAAGAAGTCACTCCTAGGACAGGAAGGAACAAGGACATCTGTAATTTGTCATGAAAGTCATGCGACAAGGAGGGAGGTAAGAGTGTGCTACCTGATGGGAGAATATGGAAATGACCTGTGTTACTGGTAGACGATACCAGTGGCACAGCGATTGCCCCCACACTGAGCGGAAATCGGCTCAATACTGAACCTAAAATAATATGCGTGTGTGAAGTCAGCAGCTTGTCAAAAAGTGGAAGAGAAAGGCAAGATGGACTCCCTTTGACACTGCTGTGATACTGAAGAGAGAAAAGCAAGCAAACTAAAGGCTTGTTTTCATGTGGCATTAGTCCTGATATTTATGTCATAGTGAAGAGTCATGAGGTCATGAGATCTAAAATGTTGTAAAGTTCATGTAACAGAATGAAATCAAGTCTGACATCCAATGACATCTGTCACTACTTAAGTTCCACGTGCCAAATTCACTCTCCTTAGCCGAGGTCATTCCAAAAAATCTGTCAAATACCAGGCCATGTGTAATATTTTTACGGTGAGTTGTTAGCTCCACGCCCCACCCCCAAGCTGGAGGAACACCAATTGTTGGCTGTCCACAACTGCTTATTCAATATGTTCACAGCTGGCCTCCACATGTGGAGGTCATTTACTCCATCTGCAACCCGAGGACACGCCATGCTACAGTGACATGGGACCCACTTAACAAAATGTAAGGAATCTCTACAGGGTAGGTTCAATAACAGTTGCAAAAGACAGCAAAATATAAAGTAGATTTAGTGGGAGTAGAAGATGTCAGATGGGCAACAGGGGCGTCACTGAACAAGCAGGTGATCGTACACTTTCTTGTGGGAATGGGAACGAGGAGTGAGTTATGTAAAGGACTGTCTGCACCTATGAAAATCACATCAGCAGTTAAGAAGACAGTTTGATAGTGACAGGATGTCACTATATAATATATAATACAGAGAGGATCAATGGTATGAGACCATTGTTCTGAATGTTTATGCCCCAGCAAAGGATGGAATTGATGATATAAAGGACAGCTTCTATGAGGAACTAGAATGTGCGTTAGATAAGTTCCCTGTGCACCACAAGAATTTTTTAGATTTCAATGCTAATGTAGGTAGAGAGGATATGAAGAACAGACAGTAAATAGGTCACGAATGAATGTGAAACAGCAGTTATGGACATAATAGGTTTTCTATGTACATCAAGAGGTAGCAGCACAATCCAGCTTCATGACAGTCTAGGTAGCACACATGCATGCACATGTTCAGAGGCTAGTTTCAGTAGTCAAACTAGAGACTGTGCTTCAGGAGTGTACTATGAAATTGCACCATTCTGTTGTGTGTTTTCTGTGGGCAAAAGAATTCAATGCAAAGGATATTCATAAAGACATGTTTCCTGCTTGTGGTGGGAAGTGTCACGTAAAGTGGTTAACCACTGGCTTACAAAAGCGTCACTGATGATGAAGAGGTTAAAATGAAGGAGGGGATGTGGCTGAGACAACAGTCAAAGGACTTCTATGCTGCAGGTTTTCACATACTGGTAAAGTGATGGGACAAGTGTATCAATATTGTTGAGAAATAAATGTTTTTCCTACATTCAAATATCATGTGTTTTACGTTTTCTATCCATTTGTGATCTATTTGCTGACTCTCCCCCATATTTTCAAACTAATAAGTGGGAAGTGGACTTTACATGAAACTAGTAATGATAATGGAGTTAGAGAAGTAAACTTTGCCACATTCATAAATCTAATTGTCAAGAGTACAATGTTCCCACATCCTAACACTCATAAATTAAAGTCAACAAATCCTGATGGAAGACACAATCAGATTAAATATATTTTGACAGACAGGAGATGACATTCAACTATACTTGATGTCCAATCTTTCAGGTGGGCAGACTAATACCAATAACTATCTGGTAGTGGGAAAAGTTAAGGAGAGACTGACAGTAATTGAGTGATAAAAAAATCTGATTCAGAGAGGTTCAAATAGGTTTACAGCTTTGAGAAACTTAGATGGCAATATGGATGTTAATAGAGCTTGCGAAACAATTAGACAGGATATCAAAATATCAGCCAAAGAAAGTTTAGGTTATTATGAACTGAAATAGTATAAGCCATGGTTCAACAAAGGATGTTCAAAATCATTTGATCAAGGAAACAAGCAATTACAATGGTTACAGGATCTGAGCTACATAAATGGGGGTAATACTATAGCATGTAGAACCATAATATATGAAGCTAGAAGATATTTCAGAAACAAAAACATGGAATATCTGAGAGGCAAAATTAACGAGTTTGCTACAAACAGTAAGAACAAGAACATTTAAGAAGGGTTATCAACCTATAACGGACTTGTTAAAGGATGAGACTGGTGATCTGCTTGCAGGTTCCTACAACATTTTGAAAAGGTGGAAGAATTGCTTCACTCAGCTATAGAATGTATGTAGGGTTAGTGATGTTAGGCAGATGGAAATACATACATCTGAGCCACTAGTACCTGAGACTAGCCCCTTTTGAGTTTGAAATTGCTACTGAAGAATAGAAAATGTGAAAATCACAAGGTGCTGATCAAATTCTGGTAGAAATGATTCAAGCAGGAGGTGAAACATTATGTTTTGAGATCCGTAACATGACCAATTCTGTTTGAAGCAAGAAATGCCTAGTACATGAACGAGTACCAATTTACAAGTAGGGCAACAGAACCCACCATAATACTTATCACTGTTATTAACCTCATACAAAATTTTATTCAATATCCTTCTCTCAAGTCCATATGTAGAAGAAATTATTTGGGATCACCAGTGTGGGTACTGACATAACAGATCAACTACTGACAAGATTTTTCACATTCATTAGATATTCAGACTTCAAGGAAGTCTATGACTAAGTTAGGTGGGAAATAATCAACAATATTCTCATTGGGTTCAGGGTACCCATGAAACTAGACATGCTTATTAATATGTGTTTAAACACAGCCATCTATTAAATTCCACATAGGTAAATATTTGTGTGATACATTTCCTATTCAGAATGGTCTAAAACAAGGAGAGGCTTTATCTCCATAGCTTTTCAACTCGCTTTAGAATATGCCATAAGGAAGGTCCAGGAAAACCAGGTTGGACTGAAATTAAATGGGACCCACCATCTTTTTTTCTATGCTGATGATGTAATAATCTATTGGGAGATAATATTGCTATTGCTGATTTATACACACTTTATAATTCACTGTTGCACGCACACACTAGTCCTCTCCAGGTAACAGTCTGACTGGATCACACACTCCCAGTATTACACATAAATGCAGTCTTCAACTTGCATTTTAAATCTTCACAGGTCTTTTACAAACTTCCTGTTGCTGTCACTTTTACTGTTACTGAAATGCTCAAAACACTCTCAGATACTCTGAAACACACACTAAACTGGAACTATGCTACAAGCCAAAAGGTAGCAGGATCGAGTCCCAATGAGGCGGATTTTTTCAGTCGACCTAATCCTTCCAGCTACACTGTGCCCCTGGGGTAGACTCAGCCTCTAACAGAAATGAGTAAACTTAACTCAGTGTCAAACTCATATTGCAACTGATTTATTACTGTTTGACAGTTACAGTCTTGTTTTTGTGGGGAGGGGATGGGTCTGTCTTTTGTATATGCTGCTGGCCCTTGCCAGCACAATCTTTCTCGGGTCCGAGTCCCTTGGGACTCGCAACCATATTTTACTGTCTAGATTTGAGACTCCCCTTTATGTCCCCTCCTACAACTCGCAGGGTCATGGTGGAGGTATTCGACCCTGCCTCCAAACAGGTATAAAAAAAGTCAAAGTCACATTGTGACTGACAGTCAGTCAGTAAGTCTTGGTGTTGAGCCCCATCTTGGATCATGACCAGATATGTATTATTGTCTGACACTTAGGGTCTTGTTTTTGTGGGGCGCCCTCTCTGATGACAGGATGGGTCTGTCTTTTGTATATGCTGCTGACCCTTGGAAACGCAATCCGAGTACCTTGCATCTCATGATCATATTTTATTGCCTCAGGTTTGAGACTTCCTTTTTTGTAGCCTTCTACGACTCACAGGGTCACAGTGGGGGTATCTGACCCTGCCCCACACAGGGGTAAACTGAACTGCTGGCATTATTCTCATTATATAACCTCAGCACCGACCATTCAGAAAACAGCAAACAGCGGACGGCAATTTTGCTCAGAAAGGGTGACATCTAATCAGCAGTTGGCTGTCAGCAGAAGATATTATACATGTTTAATAAACTCTCTAACTCTTCAGTTCAGATAATGATTAAAATGAAGATAACATTGTATTATTCATTGCTTATTCCATATCCCCATAATGAGCATTAGAAGGAGGAGGAGGAGGAATACTGCATCACCTGCTCTGTTATTCAGAGCTTCTTGTCAAATTGTATTGTACATAACTGGAAGTTTGGTAATGAACTCATACTTACATATTTCAACCAATTTCGGATATAAGAGATATCCGTTCAAATGAAGGTTTTTCAAAATTATATAAACTGTCAACTTCAATATTGCAACAAAAAGGAAAAGAAAGGAAAGAAAAAATTAGTTGAAAAACAGAGGAACTGCATTTGCAGTTACAGACTCAAATCTGAGCTCGTATGACACAGACAGGTATACGAACATGGCCAAATGACCTCCCTAACATTGCGAGTATAATAGACCTTGAGCAAGTTGAAGTGAAATGCAAAATTTTGGGTCTCATTTGTAATCATACAGAAAATCTACAAAAAGAGATTTTCCCAAAATAAGTCAAATGTGACAAGAGCTACTAATGATCATAACTATTATTTCCCAAGGCAGGCTACAGAAAGCATGAAAATAACACTGAAGTTGGTGCCAGTGATGATGAGAAACAAACAGCTGTTCCTTTGGATAAAATAATAAAGCAAATATTTGTTTGAATAATCTGTTTAATACATATGCATCTACTGAAGACAGAAACATTGATGACTTCTATCCCACATATTTTGTTAGATGGCTGGATATCAGATCCTCTTTGCAGTGACTATGAACAATAAAGCTTTACATGTTGTAACGGTATGTAATTCAGGGACAATCCAACATTTCACAAGATATCGCTTCCATCTTCAGGGTCAAAGATTAAGACAATCAGATACATACATACATACATATACATCTGCGTTTCAGATTATTCACAAATGTGCACAGGCACAGAATATAAAACATGTCAACAAGCCAACAAGACATTGGAAGCATGTACATTCACAAACAAAATCACTAGCATATATAATCCATACTTGTCAAAAAAAAAACATAAAATTGTTAAAAGGAAATACAGATTGCAGCAAATACACATACAATAGTTAAAAAGCAATACAAATTGCAACAAGTACACATACAATAGTTAAAAAGCAATACAAATTGCAACAAGTACACATACAATAGTTAAAAAGCAATACAAATTGCAGCAAGAATATATGAGCACAGCCAAGGACATAGAGTTAAATGAAGTGTACACTGTCAGACACCTCTTGACAGGTCTTGACAGAAAAGCAGGAATTCCTCAACAGTATAAGAAGGGTTTTGAAGCAATACATCCTTTAGTTTCTCAATAAACTGTTTTTTGTCATGTACCAACTCAATTAAAAAATCAGGCAAACTATTAAAAACTTTTACACTCATACAATAGACCCCTTTTTGCCTCTTTGTTAGATGCGATTGAGGAACATGAAGGTTTCTAACTTGTCTTGTTGATTTACCATGAATTGTATGATTAAAAGTATAATGCCCCAGATTGTTTACCATTAGTATCATTAAAGATAAAATATATTGAGAAGCCAATGTCAAAATTTTTAATTTTTTAAAAACTGTTCTACATGATTCTCTGGGTTTCATTCCCAACATTATCCTGATGGCCCTTTTTTGTAAAAGAAAAATCTTCTTAGCCTCCCACGAGTTTCCCCAAAATACTATCCCATATCTCATAATTGAATGAAAGTATGCATGGTAAATCATCTTTAGTGTTTCAATATTGCTATACAATTTCATGTTTCTTATTGCAAAGCATGCCTTGCCCAATCTGGACAGCATCGATTCAATCTGTGACTTCCAATTCAGGGTCTTATCAATTTCAATGCCCAAGAATTTAACGTGGGTTTCCTGATGCAATATCTCATCATTAAACTTTAAATGTATAGACATATTATCTCGATTAGTTGTATCAAATTTTACCACTTTAGTTTTCTTCAGATTTAGAGACAGGCCATTAACTGCAAACCAACGGCTTAAAGAATTCAACACTAAGTTAGACCTTACTTGGATTTCATCAATATCAATACCAGACACTACTATGCTTGTATCGTCTGCATACAACAATAACCTATCATCAGTATTTAATGCTGATGACAGGTCATTGATATATAAAAGAAACAGCAAGGGACCCAAAATCGAGCCCTGCGGCACTCCATATTCAACAATCTCCCATCCTGAACAACATTTTTCATTCCCATTAGTATACAATTCCACTCTTTGCCTTCTATTTCCCAAATATGATTTCAACCATCTTAAAGTTTTACCACCAAGTCCATATACCAGAAGAAGAAGGCAGGAAACTAAACTCTTGATTAGTTTACTCTTCAACCTTGAGGATAGAGGTGATGTTCCTCTAAAACATTAGAGCTCTCTCCAAATTATATCGTGTTACAATTCTAATACTGCTAGACTACTACTCTGAATGTGTACATACCAGCAACACTACTGTAACCACTGGCACTTGGGATTTGAGTGCTAGATCATGATTTATTAACCCAGTGAAGCAACTTAACATTTGTTTTGAAACAAAACAGAAAACTCAAGCAAGACCCCATGAACTGCCTAAACTGATTACAAGGAAATGGCTATCCGTTGGAATTAAAAAAAGTGATTACGAAATCATACTTGCAAGCTACAATCACTGCTGTGACATTGTACACTGGGTGACTGAGGTCCACCACCGCTCCATGGGCATCTTCACTTACATATCTGAAATCAAACAAAATGTCACTATTATTACCATATAATATTCAATTACTTGCTGAAATGTAATTGGAAAAAAATCATATAAGGGTTCTATGTATATAAGTAATGAATTAAACCACGTGATTCTGAATGCTGTTTATCACGCAGTTGACAACTAATCAGCTGTGCATAAAATACTCCATATGGAACCAAAAGGGTCACAGCCATCATTATAAAACTATGGCCTCAACCTAAGCCAGGTCCAACGAAACAAATTCTTTTCAAGATTTTAACATTACCATCTCCATGCCTCCTTAAAGGTTTCTAAACCAAAACCATTTCTTGTTTCCACTGCTTACGCTACATACCCCATCCACGTTATTCTTCTGAAGTATTCTGAAGCGTATGAACCATGAAGCTCATTAGTATATAATCATTTGCACTGCAACATTACTTCCTCTCATATCCAAGTATGGCATTCCATTAATAATTTGTTCCCAAACATAATGCGTGTCCTTTGCTCTGGACAAAAGACTGATTTTTTTTATCTCTACATGCTCGTAATGAGGTAAAATTACTTTTACACACAATGTCTTTCGTAAACAACCAAATGTGGCTTCCTGGTTGTAAGGAAAAACAAGTAAGTGGTAGGCTAAGATACTTGCAGTGATAAACAGATAGGCAGACTGTCAGCTGCACTGATATACAGTTACTGTTTACCTTGTATGGCTCTATGGCCACACTTGCAAGTGCTGAATCTGCATTCTTCATGTTTCTGTTCATGTAACATGTCCAGAAAGTTGCTTTCTCCTTATTTACAGCACTGAATCGAGACATTCAAACAAACACAGATATATACAGCAGGGTTTTCCACATGTGGGGGGGAACCACATAAAACTTGTAAAAGGTTTCACCATTATGTATCCTGGTATTTGAGTTCCGGCTATATTAGTGACTCTCGAGCTGGTAGAGAGAGAGCTTCGAAACTTTCTTTGACAAGAGATGATGCTGTGCTAACCAAAGAAAGCTTGACAAAACTGCAGTCACCTTCCAATCCCTGACATGATTAGCTCAACAGACAAAGGTTTCAACCACAACAGCATGAAGAGCAAGAATGTTACTTCTACTGCCATTTAAATCAGACAACTTCGAGCAATTGATGAATGTCTTACAAATGAAGCTATGTTCTATCTAAGTGAGTATACCTGTGCTCAGAAAAACATGTACTGCAGCAGTATTAATCTGAACCCAGACTTTCCAAATTTACCTTCATGATCGGAAGATCTGATGGAGGTGGGCCATTACTGCATACACACAGTAGGACCTTTTTTTTAACAGACTGTTAATTCATATCAGCAAGGTAAAATTGTTCCTGTGCTTAACTAATTAAGCATTATGCCATGAAGGCATATGGGGGAGTTGATGTATCGTAGATCCACATATTCTCAACCTCAGCACTAGTTGGAGTTGAGTGGTCAGCTTCATGCCCCTGCACTTTATCCCCAGAGAAAGCGCTTCCAGTACCCACTGGATGGATCCCAGAGCCAACCTATATGAAGTGGAGAACAGAAAAATCTCGCCCCTACTGGGACTCAAATTTCGAGCCCTTGGCCATCCAACCCTTGAGACAGTTGCTATACTAACTGCACCATTCCAGCTTGTTATGTCAGTGATACTCTTTGGCCGTTTTTTGAGAGCATTACCATAAAAGAAAAGCTATAAGGTTGTTTTATGCAAGATGGTGCTACAGCATGCACTTATTATTCCATTAATGTTTTAAATGAGGTGTTTGTAGGCAGACTGACAGGTTGCAGACCATGACTTGCAAGATGACTTTTATCTGTTCAGAAACATAAAAAACAAAAAATGTCAATAATCACCACAACTTAAGCATGACATCTGTGAAACAATCATATCGATGAATGTCTGTGAACTCAAATTAGTATACAACAATCCTTTCAAGACACTTGAAGTTTCTTTAGGAGCATAAGAGAGATATTTTGAGCACCTAATGTGTTGATGAATTATTCTAAACAACTTATTTACTTTAAGAACTGAATTTCCATGCCTAAAATGTGCCATATATAAGCCACCAATCCAGACTGACTCCTTGGAGGTGACAGCTAAGGTTCTGGCTAACAAGCCAACAATAAGACAGGCAATGTGGTCATTTATGAGAGACTCTGTATCTGGACCTGGAACAGACTACTCACCTTAATCCATGAAGATATTGATGACATATTTTAATTATTAGATTTCTGATAAGGAGAAATAAAAGATGAAATTTTTACATAAATATTGTAACGTGTTTCATTACTGAAGACACCGTTCGGATTGTTAACTGGTTTATTCAACAATCTACAACTATCGGCTACAATTAATTATCACAATGTTACGGGTTTCCACTCTTTACAAACCCTATAACAAAATCTCTTAACACTATCTTCAAGAGTCTTCACGTATTAATAACGCGGGAGCTATAAAAGTCTCCCTGAATTACACACTCTAGATATAACTGTACTACAGCACTCACTAAGCCTCGAAAGCACAATAAGTCTTCCGCTCGCTGACTTCTTAGTTGTCGCGCACGCGTCTGTAACTCGTAACTTGCGAACTGAGAACTTGTTGATAACACACTGACTCTCGCTTGCTGCTCAGCCGGCTTTTATTCCGTTCGCTGTTGCTAGTTGTGACGTGGCGTATAGCCTAGCAGCGCTGTTACCCCTTGGTGACGTCACCGCTGTTGACTTGCGTTGCATAGCTTCAAGGTTGCGGGGACTCGGCTAACTTCGGCTCCACTCGGCTCACTTTGGCTCCGCTCGTGACGTCACTGCGGGGAGAGTGGCGGGGTGATGACTCGCCTATTACGCGAGCGCTACGTTACCACTACGTGCCGCTAGGGAGGTAGGGGTCAACATGTCACAATATTTTTGTCAGAAATAATGGCAACTTCCACTTACCTATGCAATATCTTCTGTGCCAATGACATTGCTTCACTAACACCAAACTGAACACACAGATCCTTGATAGTAATGTGCTTTTCAATGCCTAACAATTTTTCAATTGTATGGCAAAGAGATGTGTAATTTTTCTTTGTAACACCTGCCAGTCTGATGGCATCAAGCTGTAACAAGAACAAAGATATTTCGAGCAGAAGCATGCATACACAAAATACGTGCTGTTCAAATTAAACCTGTTCACGGTGCTGCTAGCAAACATGCCCAGTCACCAATAATCATGTGGCAGTGTCCATGACACATTACAAGTGAACCTAAAGCTATGCAACAAAAAGCATGTCTGAACAAACATGAACATTCTGACATGGTGAAATGCTGGCACTCCAGCTGCACAACCCATCCATGCCAGACCAATAAGCTGTCATTCATTCCTTAGAGAAAATATTATCAACTAGACAAAATTCATAGAAAGAAGTGTGCTGTACATGGAAATGTGCGCGTCTCAAAGGCTTGACCAAGCCGGGTTCACATTGTCAAAACACCTAAGAAAGTTTCAAAAGTGGAGGAACCTGTTCATGGAGACAGATGTCACAGCATTCATGCATTAGCAGTGGAATTTGACGAGTGCTGATACCAAGCAAACAAATGTGCAATGCCTGGAATATCACGAAGCATGTGTCTGCAAACGCTTGCAGTCACAAACAACAGTTTATTGATGGAACACTGGCAGTGCTACCAGGTACAGGGTAATGGGTTTTTGAGATAGACTGTGGTGGATGATAAGACATGGTGCTACAACTTTCAGCTCACAGGGAAGCTATAGGCATGCAATGGAAACATCTGTCTGCTCCCTGCCCTTATGAATTCATGTCCCAGTCACGTGCAGGAAAGATTATGTTGACTGCTTTCTTAATGACCAAGGAATTGTTGTTGCTGGTGTTCAAGAACTCTGCCATCATTACCAAGAACTCTCACAGTCCTGTGCACCATCATCAAGAGAAGCTGTTATGCCAAGCAAATGAGGGGTGCCACCACACATCCTCATGTGGCTCACTGTCCAGTAAATGCTGTGCTTTGTATAATCCCCCACAGAGTCTACGTTATATGGCTCCCTCAAGGAAGCACTGAAAAGCCACTGATTCAGGGTTGACAAAGGCATAGTGGCTATGGTGCTACAATAGTTCCAGGAGAAGCCCAGGGAGTTACCTTGAAAGGAAGCGGTCTCCATAGTCTAGAGGTAACGTTCCCACCTCACGACTCGTGGTATGCGGGTTCAAATACCCGGTGGAGGTCGTCGAATTTTTAAGGGCGGAAAAATTCAGGGAACAAGTCCTCCGGGAGGGACTTTAAGCTGTGTCCCGTGTCATAACTTTACGGAACGTAAAAGAACCTCATCCTCAAAGGGGATCACTGAGCCAAATTCCAGGACGTTTCCCGCCCAACAATAATCTCTAAGGCCTCTGATAGATGGGGGAAGCATTACAGACACCGCTAAGCAAGTGGCCGAACTCTCATGCTCGGCGGGACTGATTGTACGCACCATTTATCGGTAGGGTAAAGAGACTGGTAGAATATTATAGAGGGAAGCACAATAAATCAAACTGGTCGCGGTGCAGGGGAAACCCACCCACTCTAAATAACTAACTACCTTGAAAGGAGATTCATCTGTTGGTGTGTCAATGAGATACCTCCTTCAGTGCCCATTTTCATACTTGAATTTGACATTTTGGTACAAATACACACCTGCTTACTGATGCACACACAATGTTTTTCCAGTCATGCTTCATGTCAAGCAAGATACTGCTTGCATTCATATTCAGTGACGTTTACACGACAGCATTTTCAGTTGTTTGATTCACTGTGGTTTATGTCAATCTGTAGTTTTCAATTACTGCTGGGTTACATTAATTAGGATTCAATAGGTAAAGTTGTCCCTGTACTTAACTAATTAAGCAGTAAGCCATGAAAGAGCATGGGGGAGTGGATGTATTGATCCGCTTCTTCTTGTCCTTGGCGACTAATTCAATAAATGAACATATTTATAAATGTAACACTAGCTGCATGGTGTGGTGGGGGATAAGCAGCCACTTCTCAATTTTACTGTTAATGTTTTTATGAAATGTGGTTTCCCTTATTAAATCCCACAAATAATGGTACTGGTAATTAAAAGTTTAGTCAGCAATTATAATTATGTGCTACATTACGTTGTATTGTGTAAATATAAATGCTAACATACCCTTTCAACTGGGACTCCAATTACTGAAGCTGCTAAATCAAGGCATATGACGATTTGGCAAGTTTCACTGATGTTGATAGCACATGTACTAGTCTTCAGATGCAGCAGTCGATGTAATTCATGCCCTTTCCTGAATATTATTGAAAATGCATTGTTTCAATATAAAGGAAACCACAGAGAATAATACAATTCGACATGGAACTGCAGGAAAGGCATTGTCATAGTTTAACATCTCGGTTAAAATATACCTTCAAGTGTCTCCACTTAATGCTGTCCATCTACACTTACTCTTTACTTACTTACTTACTTATGGGGCTGAGCCCTTCTGGAGGAGCCGCCAATTCTGCAGCTACTCAAGAATTTCCCAGCATTTTATGGAACCCAAAAGTTCATTACCGTGTTCACAAGAGCCCTCCACTGGTCCCTATCCTGAGTCAATTTATCCAGTTCATACCATCCCATTCTATCCCTCTAAGATCCATTCTAATATTGTCCACCCACCTACGCCTTGGTCTTCCCAGTGGTCTCTTTCCTTCTGGCTCTCCCACCAATATCCTATACGCATTCCTTGTCTTCCCCATTCGTGCTACATGCCCTGCCCACCTCATCCTTCTTGGCTTGATCATTCTAATTATACCTGGAGAAGAGTAAAAGTTATGAAGCTCCTCAATGTGCAGTTCTTTCCAATCTCCTGTCACTTCATCCCTCTTCAGTCCAAATATTCTCAACACCCTCAGTATATGTTCTTTCCTTAATGTCAGAGACCAAGTTTCAGAACCATGCAGAACCACAGCCAAAATTATAGTTTTGTATATTTTAATTTTTGTTTTTGGACAGCAGACTAGAAGATGAGGTTCTGAACTGAATGGTAGCAAGCATTACCTGAGTTCAATCTCCTCTTAATTTCCTCCTGAATCAGGTTTTGACGTATTATCGTCATTCCCAAATATCTAAACTGAGCCACATTTTCAAAACATCTGTTTCCTATCTTTATGTCATGATTTTGCCCTGCATTTTGGTGACAAGACAGCAACATATGCTTAGTTTTTTCTGTGTTTACTTCTAGTCCAACCTCTTTACTTGCGTCAGTTAAAGTTTGTATATGCTCGAAGGTTTAGTGTTCCGCCTGATCCTTTAAAAAAAAAAACTTTGCGCTCTTCCTGAGCAAGGATCCAATTCCATGCCAAATTATATAGCATAAGGACAATATTTGAGGGCTTAATCTGGGAATTATATGGCAAAAACATAATTCTAAAATTTACACAAAATAAGCCTGTGACTAATATAGCTTCACATAGTATTCATTAACCTCACTTACCTTATAACGACTTCGGACTGCAAACCTAACTTCGAGCCTAACAAAACAAATAACCTCATTTGTGAAGTCATTATTCAACTGCTCACAGAGTACCAATCCGTAATTCCAACATTCGAAAGTCAAATTATCACAAGGCAGCCCTAAACTATCAATAAATTATATGCTATTTAGTATTCAACAGTCCAAGTAAACACCCACTCTTATTCAACCGCCAAATTATGAAGTTCAGGGTAGCCATTATCGCCTAATTTACCTAATTTCCACAAAATGTCCCTGGATCTGAACAATCCCCGCCCCTGGTTTACTTAAGTGACAGTAACAACATCTTGTGTTCAACGGATTCCATTGTCCCAGCACACATTGGTTTTGTCCTCAGCGGTCCTCAGTGTATTAAGAGATACGTAGGCAGAGGAGAGTGTTCGAAAAGGTAGCAGCCGAGGGAATCAGTAAAACAGAACGGAAGGAAGTACTTTGAGAACTACTACCAAAGCAACAGAAGACCTTGGTTCCAGAGACTCAAGTTTCGAAGAATATCTGTCATCGTAATAAATAGTACAATAAATGGTCATTATTGCTTAAAAGAGTACGCAATTCGATTTAATATCGTTAATACAGAAATGTTTGAATGTGGCGAAACCAAAGGAACTATAAACCACATCTTACAGCAGTGTAAATTATTCGAGGTCATATGGTGGATGACGAGATGCAACATAAAATATTTCCCCCGTATTGTGTATGTTATTGTATGTTACCGGAAACAGCTATCCCACTAGCGCGATATACCAACAGAATATAATTAGGTCCATATTTCATTTCATTTATTCACCTTCCATAAATGCCGTTGAGAGTACATTCTCATGCCGATGTGGAGATCTTCCTTGTTACAGTCACAACTAAGGATTACAGTTTTCATCCAATAGCATGCACATTTGTATAAAATACTGATAAACATGTACAATATAATAAATAAGTTAATTTTAGTATTAAAAGTAATGGCAAACTTTATACAATTTGTACAGGTTTATGCAAGTCTGTTAATTAAAAATTGAATAGTTAAAGCATAATGTCATTAATGAGTCTTGTATAACATAACATAACATAACATAACATAACATATAGCTACATGGTTTCACAGATCCTTTGTCCGGATACCGGACTGGATATTGAACTCGTCACAGCCAAACTGACATTGCAATGTGCAACCTGGTCTAGACAATAAAATATTCAACAATTGTAACATTGATAGGTACAACAGTATAAAAATCAATCATCTTACAATTCTTGCTAGAACATAGTCTTAGAAAACAGACTGTAACAGTGCATAAAATTACCTACTTGCCATATATTCACCTACCGAGTAAAATGCTTTTGAAGCCAGAAAATCCTTTAGTCTTTGTTTAAAAATATTAATAATTGTCTTTCAAGATATATATGTTTTGTGGCAGGTTGTTAAATATTCTAATAGATGTAAAATGGACACCCTTCTGTATGGAAGATAATCTCACAGAAGAAACATGTAGCCTATTGTGCCATCTGGTACTTATTTGATGAATGTTATCGTTTGCTTGGTACATATTATAATTTTTAATTACAAACAATATCATAGTATATATATATATAAGCAGGGGACTGTAAGTGTACCCAATTTCTTAAAGCCTTCCCTACATGAATCTCTAGGACCCAGCCTTAACAAAACTCTTATTGCTCTTTTTTGGGCCACAAATATGCTTTTCATTGATGAAGATGAGCCCCAGAAAATAATTCCGTAATTGAGTTGAGCCTGAACATGGGAAAAATAGACATACATCAATTATATAATAAATTGAAACAAAGACTAGTATACAGTAATATGAAAATTGTGTATATCTAAAATAAGCATCTAAAAACCAGAACACAGACTGACAGCCTTGTCTTCCTTTAATTGTAAAGCAAGACAACTACTCGCACCTTAAGAAGATTTATAACCAAAATATTCCTGTAAAGAATAAAGAGAATGTACATATAAAAATTATTTTAATTGTACCTCAAAACTCTTAGTGTCGCTTGATATATCCTTAATATATTGTGGGGTCCTCTTTACGTGTGTCTTTGTCATACTCCTATGACAACCCACTTCTTCGGAACAATTTGTTGGCCCTGAAAAGGACCGTGGCTGCTGAGATGGTTGATCGGAGAGGTAGCGCGGCGCGCGCCGGTAAGGAGAAAGGCTGGTTGCGGTGAATGGCTAGTGAAAAGGCTAGTCGTTGAGCGCGGTCGTGGGAGCCATGAGNCTTGTAGGCTGACAATGAACTGAATGGAACTGCATAACTCTGCTCTTTTATACACTGGTCGGTGGGGCGGAGCAAAACTCGAAAGTGAGGAGGAAGAATTGATTGGCTAGCGCGCGTAATGGTGTAGACGCGGGCTAGCGCCGAGCGTAGTATAAATGCGATCGTTTGAAGCAATCTGATTGGTTAGCGCGCGTGATGGTGAAAAGTGATGTGAAGAGCGAGCGTTGCAGAAATGCGTGATAATGTGGGATGTTCCCACAATATTGTGGTAGATTATTATAGACCTTTGTTCCTAAACAGTAAACTCCCTTTTGGTATTTAGTCAAATTTACAAGAGGCTGATGTAGATTATTTTGCTGTCTGGTATTTATTCCATGAATCTCTGAATTTACTCTGAATTTGTTTCTATTTTTTATCACAAAGAGCATAAGAGATAGTATGTACTGAGATGCCAGTGGTAAGATTTCTAATTCTCTAAATAAGTTCCTGCACAAATCCCTCCTTCTGCATCCCAACACAATTCTAATTATATTCTTTTGCATTCTAAAAATTTTGTACTTTGTGGTGAGTTACCCGAAAAGGGTAAACCATAATTTATAATAGAATTAAAGTAAGAGTGATAAACCATTTTTAAGTTATTTATGGATGTGTATGGTTTAAGTGATCTTATTATGTAGCAGTCTGCACTTAGTTTAGAACTAATATACTCAATGTGGTATTTCCAGCTCATTGTGTCATCAATGAATATTCCAAGAAATTTGATATTGGATATAGATGTAATTTGTTTTTTATCATATACAATTTTTATTTCAGATCTAGGATTTTTATTTCTAGCTGTAAATTGAATGTAGTGGGTTTTGTTAAAATTTATAGAAAGTTTGTTTACTTTGAACCATTCATTTATACTATGAAAAGCTTTATTTATATTTAGTTTGAACTTTTAACTAACAAACTAGGGTCATCTGCAAATAATATAGGTACAGATTTATCATTTATTTTTGGGGTAAATCGTTTATATAAATGAGAAATAACAATGGACCCAGAATTGAACCTTGTGGGACACCATGTCTAATTTTGCCCCATGTCGAAAATTCATTGAGATTAAGGTTTATATTTGTAATTAAAACCCTTTGATATCTATTTTTGAAATAAGATTCAAGCCAAAGTTTAGCTTTACCCTTTATCCCATAGAATTCCAATTTTGACAACAGAACCTCCTGATTAACACAATTGAATGCCTTTTCTAGGTCACAAAAAATGCCTCCTATTAAGTTTTTGCTGTTTAAGGTCTTACAGCGTTCATTCACTAACTTGTATATAGCCTCATCTGTTGAAGATATTGTTCTAAAACCAAATTGTTCTTCCATTAAAATGTTGTTATTTAAGTGCTCAATCAACTGAATGCTCATAGCTTTTTCTAATACCCTAGAGAACAAAGTTAAAAGTGATATAGGCCTATAGTTGGAAATATTTGTTTTTTCACCCTTTTTAAACAGTGGTCTTATTTCTGAGTATTTTAAACGATCTGGGAAAATTGCTTGTGATAATGAATTGTTGCATATGCGAGTCAAAGGAGAGCTAATGAAAAGGGAACTCATTCTTAATACTTTAGTGGATATTTCATCATATCCATAAGAGTTTTTTGCTTTGAGAGATTGAATTATGTTTTCAGCTTCCTTAGTTGATAAAGATTTAAGTTTAGTATGTGGAAAGGGATTTATAAAAGTTTTCATTAAATACTGAATGGGAGTAGTGTCTGGAAAGTAACTAATATTAGTACTAAGTCAATAGAAAATCCGTCGAGTGTAACAATTTTGTAGGTCACTTCATTTATCACTTCTGCCTTACATGTTTCGGTTTAATAAAACCATCATCAGAGGCACATTGTACAATCATGAAAACACTGTTGTTGTTAAGATGTACACAGTATATATGCTGCGTGGACACTGCTACAATATGTCGATGTGTAAAAGCACAACACTTGCTAGGATTGTTGAATGCACGTTCAACTCTCACATTCCATCCGAAACAACGACAGTGTTTTCATGATTGTACAATGTGCCTCTGATGATGGTTTTATTAAACCGAAACATGTAAGGCAGAAGTGATAAATGAAGTGACCTACAAAATTGTTACACTCGACGGATTTTCTATTGACTTTGTGATTGATAGTGTAACGGACCAAAAATGAAACAATTCAAAATAATATTAGTACTATTTTGTTTATTTTTTTGCATTTTTATTTTCAGCTACAGATTAAAAGTAATTGTTAAAGGTTTCCTGAATTACTTGCTTTTTTCTAATCCATTTTCCATCCACCTTTAATGTGCATATTTTTTCATTATTTGGCCCCTTATTAGTTTCTAATTTTACTATATCCCATATGATCTTATTTTTATTTTTGGAATTTTGAATTTTGTTGTCATATCTTAGTTTTTTAGCTTCATTAATGACCTTAGATAAAATTTTACAGTATTTTTATAATAGTTTCTTAATTCTGAATTATTACTGTTTCTACATGCCATATAGAGTACTCTTTTACGTTTAAAGGATGTTATTCCTATAGTAATCCTAATGTCGTATTTTAGCGTCCTGTTGCACTGACTTTCATCCATGATATGTATACAGTGGCCGTCTTGTAGTGCACTCATTTTCACCTGTTACTTCACGACATGTTCGGCTACATAGTGCCATCATCAGGTGCCCTAATTATGTTAATCTATTGCATTGCCTGCCCTCGTATGTCTTCACAACACCATTTAAAAAGTATTTAAAAAGTGTGTATTTGTCAACTATAATAAATGTACACTCACTAAAACTTGTTAAGATTATTTATCTTATGTGTCTTAATTAAAACTTGTGTGTGGTTCATTCACTATGGGGTCGTTTTTCTTATTTTCTGTGTAAACTGTGTCTTGTGATGTGTGTTCCCTTCTTAGCTGCGAGTGTTGCAAGCAATGGAATAGATTAACGTAATTAGGGCACCTGATGATGGCACTATGTAGCCGAACATGTCGTGAAGTAACAGGTGAAAATGAGTGCACTACAAGACGGCCACTGTATACATATCATGGATGAAAGTCAGTGCAACAGGACGCTAAAATACGACATTAGGATTACTATAGGAATAACATCCTTTAAACGTAAAAGAGTACTCTATATGGCATGTAGAAACAGTAATAATTCAGAATTAAGAAACTATTATAAAAATACTGTAAAATTTTATCTAAGGTCATTAATGAAGCTAAAAAACTAAGATATGACAACAAAATTCAAAATTCCAAAAATAAAAATAAGATCATATGGGATATAGTAAAATTAGAAACTAATAAGGGGCCAAATAATGAAAAANGTTGTTTAGCATGTGTTCTCATGTTTATTGTTACGATAAATTACGATAAGCCCAAACAGGGATCAGTATATGTTAAACCTTCAGTGCCGGAGACTGTACATGGTATGCCAGCGGCTTCTGACACATATCGCCAAAGTCCATACCTGGCACGCTTAGTGCAGTGCTAAGTTTCAGCTCGGATTTTGAACCATTGTTTTTCATGTAAAATAATTCTTTTTGTATGAAATTGAAGAGGAAATTTCAGGCTATCATTTTTCACATTCCTTGTCTAACTTAGAACTTCCTGCGGAAGTTGTAATACATTTGAATTCTTTGAAAAAGTTTTCTGTTTCAGCACTTGGTGTGCTTGCTACAGTACAAACCTACCTCTGCCTTGGGGAATTCCTATGAACTAAATATGTTAGATTGATACTGTGTGCTGTCCTGCACGCTGACAGAATGAAAAGTTGATTCTCTTAAGGCATACTCTGATCAGTGCTGCTTCAACATTGGTATTTCTAATGACAAGAAGACATGGAGAATCTGCAACTTTGAGATGTGATGTTGACTAACAAGTGTGTTATGACTGCTACAGTAGCAAACAATAAACAGTTTACTATGTGAAATGATACCACTTTAATTCCCCTTTCTTCTATAAATGCGCATAATTCAGTCTTTTAGCCAAGACCAGCCAGTAGGAACAAGCAGTGGACAACTATGTTGTGTCAAGACCAGTGCAGCATATATTTACTTCAAACCAAACCAGAACAAAGTTTTATCAGGTTCAGAATTAGACACTGAAAATGGGTGTTTGTGCTTTTCTCGATTCTGTGGTAAATGACAGAATCAAGAAAAGCACAAACATCCTTGGGAGACAGAATTATATGCCTTATGGCCCCATGGCTAGACTAGCTTGCTATCTGCAATTAATTCTTGTACTCAAGATTCTAATTATACACAAATTAGTGCACAACAGTCGAGCGATTACACGCTATCTACATCAGTCTGACATTAACTCTATAAAAGCTTGGTGCATTGCTAACTGTATGAAACTCAACATCAGTAAAACTAGAGTTATATCCTTCTCCAGGAAAACCAATGTACTTATCTACAATTATAAACTTTGTCAATCGTCCATAGCCCAGACCGGTTCTATAAAAGACCTGGGAGTGTTTATTTCCATGACCATGTCAATTACATTTTCTCTCGCTGTGTTAAACTGTTGGATCTAGTTCGTAACATTACTTTCAATTTCTCATCTCTAGACTCTATGCTCAGATTCTACACTGCATTAGTTAGATCTGAGCTTGAAGATGTGTTTGTAGTCTGGAATTTGATTACGTCAACTGATGTCAACAATGTGGAATGCATCCAGCAGAGGTTTGCAGTCCTTTGTTTTAATCGTTTCTATCCTCAAGTCCATTACAGTTATTCTCTTGCTCTGGAGGAGTTAAAATTGCATACTTTACATACTAGGAAATATCACCTCGATGCTAAGTTTACTTTGGCTTGAAATTCTGCCCTTCTGTTCTGGAAATTGTTGGTGTCCGAGTTCCTGCTCGGTACATCAGAGACTTTGCTTTGTTCAATGTTTGCTCCTCATGTAAGAATTGTCCCTCTGCTAGATGTGCAGCAGCTGCTAATGTTGTTTGCAGGGATGTTGACGTCTTTGGAGCCATGAACGTTCTCCACAAACTATTTTTAAATATGGTGTAATAGTTACTATTATTATTTTTATGAATATAAAAACACTTAAACTCAATTATTATTATTATCCTCTCTGAACATCTATACTTTACATTTCACAATTAAATATTTTTATGTTTCATTCCTCAGTTCTCAATAACAACTTAGATTTATGTTAATGAAATTATTATTATTGTTTGTTTACTTGTCTGCATTAATGTGTTTTTCCTCCAGTGCTTGCCTGTAATTTGTCTTTGACTTTATGTTGTGATTGTCCATAATATAATTACTTGTATCTACACTGTGCTCTGATGGTAATTGGCCTTGCGGCTATTGACTTGGCACATAAATAATAAAGAATTGATTTAAATTATTATAAATTGCAAATGGGTTTTTTGCCCTGCGGCAGTGGTACTACAATAAGACACAACACAAAATTACACACCACACTCAAACAAAACATAACACACAAAACTACGCAAACAACAAAGGACACACTACACACAATGAATACAATGCAAACACAATTACAGTTACAACTACAATTAAATAAATTAATATTAATAATAATAAGTATACTATACACTTAGCAATAATAGTGTTGAAATACATAGGTTACTCCAAAAGTAATGCGCAACATTTTTTAAAAATTCAGTTGTTATTCTACAGTTTTGCTATTTGCAGGATGCAGCGAAGGATCCTTGCCCTTTTAATACAGTTTAATTCAACCTGTAACGATGTCATAGCACTCCTTCAAAATGGCTGCTATGCTTGATGTTCGACAAAAGAACGTGCTGTTACAGAGTTCTTGTGTTTTGAGAATGGGACAGTGAGAAATATTCACAAGAGATTGAAAAATGTGTATGGAGATGATGCTGTTGATCGCAATACAGTTAGTCGGCGAGCACACAGATTATCTGGTGAAAGTGAGCACGCCAATATTCGGGAATCTCCTCGCACCGGTAGACCAAATACTGCACAAACTCCTGACAATGTGCAACGTGTTAATGATATATTTGGAGGACAGATGTGTGACTGTGAAAGAAATTTCATCGAACTGGTAATTGGGGAAGTAAGTGTGTGCATAATATTGAAACATTTGGGGTTGAAACACATTTGTGCAAGGTGGGTTCCAAGGATGTTGACAGATGCCCACAAAGAAACCGGAAAAACTATGTGCGGTGAACTCTTGGCACAGTATGAGAATGGCGAGAGACCAAGGACTGACTCCATTCTTGTTCTCGTTCTGTGACTGACTTTATTCTGTTCTGTACCCCTTATACATATATTATCGATATGGACCACACAGAAAACACCGTCTCTCAACAATTCGTAGGGGCTTTTACAGCTCCGTTGCCAAGAAATGGACGTCTGGTGTTCCACACGTTTGCTTCTGCGGAAATCTGTTTAGCAACCAGTTGCCTAGGTATGGACATGGCGTGGACCACATTGAAAACATTTCTTGCAATACCTTTTCTATTATTGCATTTGTGTATTTCGGGTGCTGCCTAGAAATGGGTCTACATGTCACAATATATAACGTCATTACGTTTCACTAAAAACAATTGCTCCTATATATAAACACTGGCCAATGTAGGAATACTAGCAAGTGAATACAGGTGAATGTAAAACGTCATATACAAGTACATGATGTAAGAAGTGACGAATGTATGGTGTATTCATACTTCCTGTTGTGGTGACAGAATAAAGTGAAGAAAATTTTATACACACAACATGATGTTAAATGTAATATTTCTAAGAGAAACTGAATTTTATGACAAAATTCTGACCACAGGGATGACTGCTTATTATTTCATCATGAGCATATCTCCTCATATGAAGCCAGATTCGCATACAGTAAGGTGTACATTAGAATAGTATAGCAGGTTTTCTTAAATGAGGGAGAATAACAGAGGCAGTCCAGTTCGGAATCCTCTTGTCTATGTGAATAACCATCACTGGATTACACAGGACTTGCTATTAATATATAGCCACAACATGCATTGTAACTTTTTCCATACATTCAAATTATGCATTATTATTTTCAACATTGAAAATGTTATTATTTGCGGGTGCAAATGGAATTAAACCGTTAGTAACAGAAAGTGTAAAAATTTTCCGTAAGTAACAATATGTAGCAGTTTGTAATTATTGGTACCTTCGCTGCTAAGTAACCAAAGATCTGTTTATGACTTCGTTACCATGGAAATGTGCACAGCGAAGCATGTAGAAGAATCTGGACTTATTGCGAGTGAGATACATTAATGAATGTGAGCTATACGGCTAATTCAATTCCACTCTTTAGTAGATGACGCAATACTATAGGCAATCTGCCAGCATATGACGCCGGCAATTGTCGTGCTGCATATATGAGAGAGTACAGAAAAAGGGAGCAGTTAGAAGATAATTGTAATAATGTACCCAAACAAACAGAGTTAAATGCCAAATGACAGCATGAATATTGAGAAACGCCTAACATATCTGCCGTATTGTAACACACTATGGATTACTATAACTATAGCACACAAAATAAAATCTTCAATGTCTACTTGCTAGTCATTGCTCGATAACAGATCTTACCTGGTTAATATTTCACAACTGAATATTCGATTACTGAACTATTTTCTGAATTCTATTATGAATGAATGTATAGAACAACAACAAGTAACAGAATTGTACACTGAATTTATTACCAGCATCCCATATTTTAAGACAAGTGACTGAGTTGTTTTGGTTTGTCACCTGACCATTCTTCTTTTTCTCCTCCTTTTCCTCCTCGGTGTTGTTGTTCTTGTTGCTCCCACTTGGGCATCCGTGAAGTGCTTCAGTTTCTTAATCTAAGCAGTTAGCAGGACTCCTTGCATGGGGGATCAGCCCATTGTAAGGTCACTACCTAATACAGACACAGAATAAACACAAAAGGTTTCCACACCTTGAGTGGGATTCGAACCCATGATCCCCGTGTTTGAATGGGCAAAGACATTTTATGCCTTAGGCTGCATGGCTGTCTGACCATTAGATGTGCTATATCTTGTAGTACCGTACTAATTGTACATTGTACTCTAGTAAAACCCTCAAATTGTAAGACACCAATTTGTGAACTGTGTTCTACAGTGCTAAAACTTAACCAGTTTTCCAACAGCCAGAAAATTTTCTCCTTAACTTATGTTTAAGCCTTTTTATTTTTACAGATAGCTCTGGAGCATTCAGGGCACAGGAATAATAAAAAACTTTTTATTTTTTATTATCATTTGATAGACCAACTTATATTCTTCAATTTAATTTAATGTTTCAAATCTATGGAGGAGGTAAAGGCAAATGACTGGTTTCCTTCCTGCTGGCACCAATAGCTGGAAGATTTTGAATGAAATATATGTTCCTATCATGCAATTTTTTATTGAACCTCATATTTCTGTTCACTGCTCAAAATTGGACCTATATAAAACATTATTTTCCACTCCAATTTTTAAGCAATTTTTAACATTATAAATACCACAAGTTTTTATATATTAAATATTTAAATATTTATCACATTCATGGAAGATATGAAAAATCTCTTTAATGATATTAACTTATCAAATACATAGAAAGCAACTATTTGAGAGACAGATAACCACAGATTAGCAATTTTTTAAATCAGAATAAAGTTACTTACAATTCCAGGAGGTGAATTGTGAAAAATGGAGGTTGAGACATTAACTGAAATCTAGAATTACAGCACTGATAACTAGAAAAGGGTGTAGGTTATAGACTGTGAATGGAACCATTTCATACCAAAACTACTAGTACCAATAAACTAAAAAAAAAACATACAAATAAACTCCGTGGCCTGTAGTCCACAAATGAACTATACCGACCAAGCGACTCCCACTTGCTGATGAAGTCAGTGCCAACTTAATTTAAATCAAGAAAGTAGCTGCACATGACCAAGTTCATTTGAGCTGATTTTCACATTTTCTAGATTTGTGTCATGGTGGTCTTATTTTAACTGTTTTAAAATAGGCAGGTGGTGTTTATGATAATTTATTCTCTGAACTATGTGGGAATTCTCTTTTCTGACATTTTAGTTTTTATTTCAGCTTATCTCACCCTGGGGATCTGTGTATTAGATATTATGTAAGTTGGTGATTTATGGGTTAATTTTCGTGTAACAGCATGATTCTGTAAGTTTTAAATCACTTCTGTATTTTAAAATAAAATGGAATATCTTATATTCAGCACACTGTACCTGTTGAGAAAGAAACTCTCCTACTTGAAATGAAATAACTTCAGTTTAATGTTTCCAGATGTTTCTCACTGTAAACAAGTTTGTATATCTAACTTCTGAAGATTCTTGGTATGTGTGGTTTGAGAGTAGCAGTATGGGGCCTTAAGGAATAGGTTTTCTCTCAAATCCTGCTCATCTGAAGACTGAAAGAGAACCATCTCTGAAATGTAGTGATTTCAGTAAACAATGTGTCACACCACTCCATTGTCAAAAAGTTTTTTAAATTAAGAAGGCAAATGTTAGTTCCATCTCAGAATTAATTAAGTTCAAATCTTAATATTTTCTAAATAGAACCTTGCTCCTCAGTTTACTTACTTACTCATGGAGCTGAGCCCTTCTTGAGGAGCCGCCAATTCTGCAGCTACTCAAGAATTTCCCAGCATTTTACGGAACCCGAAGGTTCATGACCATGTTCACAAGAGCCCTCCACTGGTCGCTATCCTGAGCCAGAGCCATCCAGTCCATACCATCCCATCCTATCTCTCTAAGATCCATTCTAATATTGTCCACCCACCTATGCCTTGGTCTTCCCTGTGGTCTCTTTCCTTCTGGCTTTCCCACCAATATCCTATACGCATTCCTTGTCTCCCCCATTCATGCTACATGACCTGCCCACCTCAGTTACTGTGAATAAAAATATATCGATGACACATGGTAACAAACACATTATTTTATACTTGGATTTCCAAAGCAATTATTTTCATATTAGATTTGTTGCTGCAATATTGAGGACAATCAAGTTCTGCAAATTTGCTACACTAGGTGTACTGTTGAAGAAAACACAACTTTGCTTGTAAAGCTGTGAAGTTATAAATTTATACCATATTAAAAATACAGGTACAGTGGATCCTCGCTTAATGAGCACCTCTCATAACGAGTAATTCGCATAACGAGCAAAACAAATTGTAAAAAATGACTTGCATAACGAGTGACAAGAGGGGAAGTCCCAGAGATTGTGCGCTTGCTACATCAGTCTGTGTTTAGCACTCATTCTGCTAGCATCTTAGTGTCGCTTGTGATCACATTTTTCCAAACTTGTGTTCAGACATATTATTTGTGATTTTTTGTGCAAAGTTTAATAACCCTTGCAAAAATGTCCCTGAAGAAAAAGCCACAAAAAGACAGCCATAAGAGAATAAAAATAATCGTAGAAATGAAACGTAAAATCATTGAAAAGCGAGAATGAGGTGTGAGCGTGGCTGATCTAGCACGCACATACAATTGGTCTATATCAACAACTTGCACTATCCTCAAGAACAAGGACAAGATTAAGGAGATAGATGCTTCAAAAGGAGTGACACGAATATCTATGCGACAGTTACGTATTCTCGACGATGTTGAAAGGTTGCTCCTCAGATGGATAAATGAAAAGCAATTGCAAGGCGATACTATTAAGGAGAACATAATTTGTGAGAAGTGAAAGTGATTTTTGCCGACCTCGTTAAGAAGACACCAGGATCATCAACGGCCGAAGAAGAAGCATTTAAGGGAAGCCATGGATGGTTCGAGAAATTTAAGAGAAGAACCGGCATCCACAGCGTTGTAAGGCACGGTGAAGCAGCAAGCTCCGACACAAAGGCAGCAGAGAACTTCATCGGTAACTTCAAGAAGCTCATAGATGCTGAGGGTTACCTGCCACAACAGGTTTTTAATTGTGATGAGACGGGTCTCTTCTGGAAAAAGATGCTGAAGAGAACCTATATAACAGCAGAGGATAATGCATTGCCCAGCATTGTTTTCTGCAAATCGAATTCGCGTTCCAGGTTGGTTCATTCCACATAGAAGAAAAGATGAAGATGATTCACGCTCCTTAACAATGTATATATAATTTTCTTTGAATAAACGTTGTACACAAAGTTTTTTTAGTATTTTTTTCGGCATGGAATGCATTATCATATTTTACATTAATTTATATGGGAGAAATTGTTTTGCTTAACGAGTGTTTTGCATTATGAGTAAGATTCTGGAACGAATTATTCTCGTTAAGCGAGGTTCCACTGTATTACAAATAAAAGTCACACATCCCGTTGCCATCTACATAAGATTGTGCATCAGTCCAATATGGATTATATATTAAACAGAATTAAATTCACCAACTTCTAGTAAACCCTATTTACCCCACAGAACAAAATTCTTCTGAATTCCTTGAGACATGCTTTCTTAATGATTGTGTAATTTGGATTTTCTTGACCCTTTTTCTTGCTCTGAGACCCAGTGAGGTGATTTCACGGCTGATTTCATATATAGATATAGCAAAATTTTCAGAAGATAAGGAAATTATGAGGAAAGAATTCTTGTTTACTACTTCACATGGCAATCAAGGCTGAAATAAAAAAAGAAAACAAATATAATATTAGATATCATTTTATGATATTGCTACATAATCACAGGTGGAGGAAATGAACAGTATGACACATTGAAGAAAGCAGTCTTCTGGGATTTGGCACCGTGTATATGTGGTGTTAACCGACGTTTCGGAGGAACGTATCGCCCCCATCTTCAGGGTTGAAGAAAAAGTATAAGTAAATCTGCAAGCGACAACACCGTAGGACACGGTAAAGCAGACTGCTTTCTTCATAGTCACCGCCGTGAAAGCCTCAAATCTTACACAGTATGACACATTGTTCTGAAGGGGGAGACAATGAATTGTAGGGGCAATTATATGAAAATTTTAATTTGGAATACCATAGGAAAATATGTTGTGAGGTTATGAAGCAATATTCAACATATGATGAAATCAACACCCAAACAGTATAAAACATATTGTCTGTTTTTCCTGATGCTGACTTTGTACAGCATATTGTGTAATGATTACACTGCAAATACCAGTATCATTATATCTTGTTTTGTTCCCGACTTGAAAATTTGAAACCTTGGCATTCTTTTTAGCAGATGCTATATTTCTGTAGATTCTAATGGGTTTGGATAATGGTGTATCACACTCAGAATTAATGGTTTTTTTTACTTTTTCAATCATCTGGTATTCCAGTAACACTCAGAATTACTGGGTTTCGGGGCTTTTCCCATTGTTTGATATTCTAGTGTGTAGAATAGTGAAGGATGGAGAAAGCTCTAAAAACCAGTAGTCTCTAGAACCCCAGATGATGGAAAAAGTCCAAAAACCCAGTAATTCTGAGTGTTGTACACCATCGTCAGGACCTTTTAGAATTACTTGTTCAATCACTATGGACCCCATATATAACTTTCCCTTAGGAAATTAGAACACCTAAAAATTCGGTTAGTGTTTTCTAGTCTCTCAAATACCAGACAATGGACAAAGTCCAAAAACCCGGTAACTCTGAGTGCTGTACTTCTGGCACAGCCCAAGCAAGAAGAAAATTAACATTCATACAATATTTCATCAAAATTGAACCAATAGCAGAAGAAAGGCCGCCTCTATCTTCATTTACCTTGTAGCCACTGAGAAGAGCCATGTCAACATCCTGTTGCTTTACGTTTTTCTTTGGCAGAAAGCGTCGAATTACAGGACTAAGAAGCCTTGGGTCTAGAGAAGCAGGATCAGTTGGATTCGTAAAGACACTAGCGATGAGTGCCACAGACATTGATACCATGGTTCCCAGAAGTGTGTACCACAGATATGACATCCGATACAAGGCAAAAACTTCACTGTAACATAAATGAATGTGCTATGTGATGAAGAATCCTGTTTCCTTGGATATAATGTCATTTAGTCTGTTGAAAGTCAACCAACATTTCAAAGGAAATCAATATGAAGCAATGAGCAAGCATCATTCTGTTTACTATCTGCTTCATCCTGTATTCTTGCTTGGCTTTCTCTTTGATTGCAAAGATGGAGGAGACATGTTCCACTGAAACACTGGTTAACTTTGAATAAATTATAGGGCATTATATCCCAGAAGACAGGACTCTTCATAACCACTGATGTAAGAACTCAAATACTATTTGCTAAGTCATGTCTGAAGTGAGACTCTTGACCCTTCATGCATATAACAGTGAGATTATATTGGTGACATGTATATTAACACTGTTGCAGAATTCATGTTTGACACTATTGGTTAAATTTAAAATTCTAAGGAGTAGTGTCATTTCAAGATTGGTTGTGCATATATGTTCAATTAAAAACAAGGAGTGTAGTTAAGAAGGGAGTCCTGCTCCCTGTGGAATGGTAGATGAAGTCAGAGATGAAGAAGAGTTGCATCTAATCTGCTGTTTTGAGTGGGCATCTCAGCTTCTCTTGCTTCTGTTCCTTTTACCTGAAGATAGAATTAGAAAATAGCTTAACATGAACATAGCAACCTTTAGAAATTTAAATGCTATATAATTGAAGATGGATAATGCCCAAAGGAAGTACACCAAAACAGAAACATGTTTCGCTGGATATGTGTGTGTGTGTGCACGTGCACATATTCATGTTTATATGTGTTTGAATGCTAGGACAGAAATAGTATGTTGGGATAGAACTGACAAGTGCCTGGCCTTAAACTGTACCCTGGCACCAAAATAGTTAATTCTCTTAACATTTGAACATTAGACTGACTTCACTGCAAACAATTTATGTGTAGGTTTTACACAAGATCACACTCACATTAAACTCAGTAAGTATGTAGCACCATACAGGATATCTGCAGAAAATTAGAACTTGAAGCCTAGCATTCCTGGACTACACTGAGCCAGCAGAAAATTCTGTCTCATGATGCCAAGATTCTGTAGTGAAAATATAACTGATTATGTAGCACAGGGCTACAACAACCAAAACCAAAGAACCTAGGAAAGGTAAATTTTTACTCTTTATGTGGTTCCATAGTTGAGTTAATCACAGCAGGTGCTGGTGTCACAAAGTCATAAGTACAACCTTCAACAGAGACAGGTTTTGTCTGAAAATTTATATCTCCTGCAGCAATAGCTGCCTGAGTCCCCAGGCACACCCAGGACATAAATCCCAAACACGCCACTCCACCAGCCAGCGCCCCCTGAAACATAATGCAGATAGGTCTATGAAAATAACTGTAAACATATTAGGAGAGGTATCTGCATGTACTTGCTTCAGCATCAATTAACTCTAATTTCACCCATAGAGTGACTTCATGTTGTTTGTTTGTTTCTCACAACAAACAGTAATTATTCACTGATAATTAACCAATCCATGTTTGTAACAGAGATGTAGCATATTTTTCAGAAAGTAGTCACTGAATTATTAAATATTATTTTGATAAGGGTCATCTTCCATTGATTTAAGGAACTGTATTGTTGTAATGGGATGTGAATTTGGAAATTTTCCCAGTGGTTTTTAATTCTGGATTCCACGGAACAGACATATTTTGATGAAAATTATATATGGACCAAGGCATTGATTTCTGAAGGTAACACGAAAAATATGAATTTTAATATTCTTGAAAGAAAGAAGTGAAGAAGCACATGAAGGAACATGAGAAGGTAAAACGTTATGAGTTAACTTAGACATCTAATGTTTTACTTTTATTTTACAATTATTTTGTACTTTGTCCATTATCCAAGATTTTTTTACCTTTACCAGACCTGCAACCCTGTTGGAGGCTGATGTATCACACAGAGCAAAATGAAGAATATCGTTTACATTTTTGAGAGTTTTTTAAGGATGAAGTCTGTTGATAGACAGCTATGACCTCCTGACTATGCATTCATTTGTTTATGTATGTAGAATCAAACAGTGAAGTAATCAGATTAATGATTTTGGATCAAAAGTTTCTGAGAGATATTGTAACTGTAGAGCTTACTTTAGAATTAACCCATGGTAAGAAAAGTCCCATGCTGAAAATTCCAAGGGAGGCACCATGCGTAATACCACTCAAACTCATGGACATCTGCAAGGAAAGGGAAAAGCTTTAGCTTCAAAAGGTATTTTGTTCCAAAGACACTACACTAGTGTTATACAATAGTCTTACCTGCAAAACAGCACCCAGCTTTTCCACAACAAATACCAGCCCAACACACACTGTGCCCACAACTACCACTACTGTCTTCATAAGAATATCAGTCTGTCGTGGAGACAGCTTATGGGAGAACCAAGTCTTGTAAAAGTCTTCCAGAACAACTGCTGCCATTGAGTTCAGACCAGTTGACATGGAGCTAGGATAGAATAAAAAAACAGTGTTCAACATTTATGAAAAATGAATGACCAGAGGAAAGAAAGAATATACATGGAACAGCCAAGAATAAAATTAAGTTTAGAAAAACTTCTGCTCTTGCACAACACTCGTATAGCAGGGCTTTTCAAATTATCAAGGGCTTAAACCACTTTAAAACCTACAAATATATTAACAGGCAACTGATAATTTCAATGAAGAAATGGCCTCCTAGTTTGTAACATCATGTAGTTTGGAGAAAGCACAACCTTTTAGTAGAATACTAAAAGTCTGCTTATCACCTGCTTCTTGCTGATTTCTGGCTTGTCTCAAACTTCAACCCTAAATTCATTCATTCATTCATTTATTGTATATTCCATAAATCCATATACATAGATATAGAACCAGTCACATAATTAATATAGTATAATACAAATATAAATATATATGTACAGTTTATAATCATTAAAATAGATAAAAAAAATGTGTTAAATTTATATCAAAAAAAGTCTTACATCACTATACATAAAATTATGCAATATTAAAATTGTTTATGTTATAAAGATGAAGGCTCCTCAAAACTACACAGTGTTACAATCAGAAAGATGGCACACTTCCTATTTACCACTGTGAGAGCTCCAAATCCCCCCAAAAAATAAAATAAAAGTTCACCTTAGGGCAGCACTGAACACACCAGCCACAAACAGTCCTGGCACACCTGGCAAATCCTTGAGAGTGTCCATCACCAGCAATGGAAGGAGCTGGTCCTTTGCCACTGCTAACTGCAGAATCACACCAATAGGTCTTAACATCATTACTTCAGAATTCATGGAATTATACCCTTGTGTCATATTTGTTTGAAATATTTTATAAAGGCTACTTTACTCTTTGAAATCTACCTCAATGCTGACCCCAATTGACACTATTTTTCTCGTGATTCAACATCAGTATTCTGGTGCAGGGAGTCAGTCATGGGCACTGTGTTTTACTGTGAGGAAAAATGGAAGTCACAATGTTAAAACAAGGTACTTAACCATTTAAGTGGATGTGATATCTTAACATATCATGTGCTGCTCTCAATCACAGTAGGCAAAACGACTCTATATGTCATGAATGTTTCAAATTACACTGATGTAGATATAATGATAGTCAGCAATGCAAATTTGTATGTTGTGCTTGCTAGATCTTATAGCTACTTCAGAGTGTGACGTGAAGGTGCTAATTGCTTGGTAGCTGTCCTGGGTTTGAGTATTTATGAGTAAACATTATGGCAGGTGCTAGCAAGAAGATGTGTGTGTGATGAGGTGTTACATGAATTGTTTCAATAGAATTAAGGTAGTGATATTTCTGAGGGCATACATAGTAGTGGTGAAAATTTTGTCATGTGGTGAACAGAGTATCAGCTCTGATGACAACAGTAGCATGCAGCATGGCATAAGTCAGGTGCTGAGCAACCACTTCTTTGATTTACTGTCAAGCCTGGTATAAATGTTGATTTATAAAACCCCAGTAACCCCCTGGAATATTTTGAGTTGTTTTGCACACCAGAAATTTCGGAATTAATAGCCAGAGAAACAAATCTGTATGCCCCAAAATTTTTATAAAACACAACCAGATCTAGGACACACTATTGGAAAGAAACAAACATAAACGAAATAATGAATTTGCTGGCATTCTTTGTTACAAGAACTTCACCAAAAACTGGACAAAAAGAGCTAATTTTCCTGGAGGAAATTTCTGAAACACCAATATTTTTGGACCTGTTCAGTGAAAGAATTTTTCTTCATTTTACTGACAACAAAAAGTGTCAATGTCATGAAACAAGGCACAACTGGGAAAACTGTAGGTTGGGACAGGATCCTATTTCCAACGTTACCATATAGCAGCCGACTTCTACAGGCGTGAAAGGGATCAAGGTTCTACAAGTGGCTAACAAAAGTCTGAATGTAAGATTTTAGTTGTAAGAAATTGTACTATGAGCTGTTATTGAAAATTGCACCATAATTATAAAGACTTTCACAGCATGTGCCACTGAGGTTGCAACACTTTCTCTGGTGGTATAATTGGTTTAGTGAAGATTTCATAGTCTGTACAAGATAACAATTTTGCAGTCAATGTTTGAAAGAACAAATACTTTTGTTGCACAGTTCAGTCATTCACAATAAACTTGAACTTGCAAGAAAGCAAAAATGTGGCCAACATGATGTCTATCATCAACAAGACAGTCAGAGCTGTAGTACGAGGGGCAGTCAAAAAGTTTCCGGAATTGTGGTATAGCACTCTAATGATAGGACATATGGCAATGCTTAACTAATCACCTTCAAAGTAGGACCCTTGTGTGCACACACACTTACTCCATCGAGCCTGCCACTGTTGGAAGCAGCGGTGGAAGGCTTCTTTTGGAATCTTCCGGAGCTCAACCATCGCATTCGATTTGATGTCCTCCATGGTTTCGAAAAGTGCCCTCTTGAGGCCCATTTTCAGAGTAGGGAAAAGACAAAAGTCACTCAGAGCGAGATCTGGAGAGTATGGTGGTTGAGTAATAATAGGAATGTTTTTCTCAACGAGGAATTGCTGCACAACAAGCGATGTGTGGCTTGATGCGTTATCGTGATGCAGAAACCACTGTCCCTGCCACTTGTCGCGCTGCTTCCTCTGAACTGCATCGTGCAACCTCTGCAAATCTTGCATGTAGAAGTGGCCAGTAATAGTCTGTCCAGGCAGTATGAACTTACGGCGCACCAAACCGTCAATGTCAAAGAATGCAATGAGCATCACTTTGTCTTTGGATCTGACGAGGCATGATTTTTTTGGCCGGGGAGACAATGCTGTGTACCAGTCCGATGACTGTATCTTCATCTCTGGGTCATAATCTAACACCAGTGATGATCTTTTTTAGAAACGTCAGGTCCTACGTACTTTTGTCTAACAGATTCCCAGCAACCATCATGTGACATTCCATCTGATCCGTGGTCAGCTGCCTTGGAACAAACTTCGCACTGATGTGTCTCATCTTCAAATCATCGGACAAATGGCATGAATGGATCCGTGAGAGATACCAACTTCTTGCTCCAACTCTGCAATGGTCATTCTTCGATCACATCAAATCAGTTGTGGCACTTTTCCAATCATTTCTTCAGTTCTGGATGTCGAAGGTCTCCTGCTGTGCTGGTCATCCTCTTAACATCTCCTGCCTATTCTTAAACCAGGAAAACCAGTCGTAAACTACGGATTTCTTTAGTGCAGTATCACTGTAAACTTACTGCAGGGCCGATTGCGTCCCTGAAGTAGATTTTCCCAATTTGCACATGAACTTGATGTTCGCACGCTGTTCAAACTGCGACATTGTGCCGAACGACCAACACTCACGTCTAATTCAAACAGAACAGTAACGAAAGTTCACACTGAAATCTGTCCAGACCTGTTGTGCCTGTGAGCATACAAGCTGAGCTCCCCACCACAACAGTGTGCATGCTATCTTATCACTCATTCACCCTCTGCAGGGGAATTCCGGGAACTTTTTGACTGACCTATGTATATCATAGTGAAATGTTGCAGTAAACAAACAAGTGTGTGTTTAGACTGGAGGTAGTTTTGTCTGTCAGCTTCTGTGATGGTATTTCATTTCTGAACCTCTGACTCCAGTCAGGACTGCATATAGTGAATGTGCATGAGTCAGGCATACTATATTTGTGACCACGTACAGGGAACTGAAAGCTGTTAGTTGTGACAGTGGTGTACCTTTTGATAATAAAGCCAAAATACGGATCTTACTAAAGAAAACTTTAATGTGAGGGCTAAATCAATCAAAGTACAAATACTATATGAACTCTGACAATTAGTCTTTCAGTGACTTTTTGTTTTGTTATTTTTATAACGACACATGGTTAAGATATTGAATTTTAAAGAGGGAACAACAATTATAAATTAAACGCCGTATTAACAAATTTAAATATCTGGAGAGTTTTCATGTCCCACTGCGAGAGAAATAAGAACACAGAAAATAAATACTTAAGTGGTTAAGAAGGTATCTGAACCAGTGTGGTGCTGAGTAAATGGACAACTTCAGATAACACATGATGAGGAACTTGGGGTGAAAGTGGGAAAGTAGAGGTCAGACAAGGATTGCATACAGATTTTTTGGAAGAAAACACTTGGAAAATACTACTTGCAAGACTGAGAAGCAGATGGAAATATTTTAAGGATGGAACTTAAGGAAGAGTTTGTGAGGATAGGAGGTGGATGAAATTGTACCAAGGTTGTGCCCAAAAGGTGAATTTTGGTTTTACCAGTGTTGAATAGTCAGGCTGTTAGTTAGCGAGTGAGCGAATGAATGAGTTAGACATAATCATGGATCTTTATCTGTTTGATATATATCTTGGCAACTCTATAAGTATCATAGGAGTATTAATGGCTTATTACAGCTGTTGCTGTAATAAACTGCATTTCCTTCTTCATTCATTGTTAAGATAATGGACGTATAATTTAATCTGTACAATTCAACAGAAATGTCTTGCTACGTGTTACTGCTTACAAATTAAATATAGCCTAATTATAACATCCAACATTAAATGCCAACAAAAGGTGAGACCTCAACAACACATTCTTGTTAAAAATTTCAGTATATTCGTCATTTGGCCATGACACTTCATTCGCTCATTTCTCCTGCATACAATTCCCATCTACATTATTTATCTGTCCTGTCATATTTGTCTCCCCTTCTTTCTTTCCTCTTCTTTATATTAAAACAGTTTTTTTCCATTTGAGGGTTTTTCATCTTTCAACCACAGTGAGTGACTATATTCTCTGTGAGTAAACTATGTAAGACCACAATATTTTCTGTTGAGTCCACACATTCTTCAAGTGAAATTATACTTGAAACTGACTTTTATGCGTACAGTTTTGTTATGTAGTTGTTGCAAACTTGATATAAATAACCGAGGACAAGATAATGGCAGGGTTTTGTGATTACAGCAAAGAGGCTCAAAGTCAGGAAGCAGTAAAAAATACCCGTGTTAATATTGTGGCATGCCGCCTAAAAGCCAGAATATCTCAGTCAGTGCAGGCTTCCATTGCTAGACAATGGTTTGTTAAAACGCGTTTCTGAGACACCATATACATAACAGCTTTCTGTTTGATCTGCTATATTCCACAATCGGACAGCCTAGAAGACACCTTCTTCAAGGGTTGCTTTCCAAGTGATAGCTATTGTGTTTGTTACCGTGGGAACCATCCTAGTTCTGGCTTGGCATAAAGTACCCATCTAGTTGCAAGGCCCAGTTGGGTGTTTATGCCAAGACAGACTGGCCGACTGACCATTGGTCATAAAATGAGACTCAGACTCAGAGCAGGTGAAATCAGAGAAGACTAGAACAGCGGTCAGATCAGAGGAGAACAGAGCGGAGATCAGATCAGAGGTGAACGGCGTGGAGATCAGATCAGAGGCAAACGGAGCATACCTGACAGCAGAAGAAACCAGCTCAGCCAAGAACTAGAAGACAGAACGTGAGAGACAACAGACTAGTCAGGTTGCATCTTGTGGAACACATTATTTGTGAGTGATTGGAATTACAATTGTAAACATCTTATCCAATAAATAGCTTCCCCTAATTCGGAACCTGTTCATTTCTTGTCGCTTTACCTGGATATGTGACTATATTAACATACCTTTGTTGTGAGAGGGTCACATTTATAATACGTAGCAAATACCAACATGCCACTGTAGCTGCATAAGAATATGAAGCTTGATGCTCCCATCACGAATAACCACAGTGCACTGAAAGCAAATGGAGCAAACTGAGGAACTGCAGAAAATCTGGAATTTAGTGTAAGAATTCACCACTTCTTCTAAACAACTAAACAAACAACCCACTTTACAATCTCTGATTCATATATCACATTTACAATGCTCCCTTGTTGAAATGGGTGTCTAAAACACAAGTGGGAGTAAGTTGATAGTAATACTTTTATCTATAGACCAAAATCCTGCCTCTCAGAACGAACTCTCCAATATCTCACTACAAGCACTAGTAACAAGAAGGTTACTTGATAACGAATTAATAATAACAATAAATACTTGAAGAGTGTGTTTTTGAATAGGTATACCAAAGTTAAGAAAAATATATGAAAATAATTCAAGCAAGTAAGTGCAGCTCCACGTTTTCTTGACTTGGTCATGAGATGATAACTGTAAATATTAAATATTACATGGAACACTGTGAGTTTGCTGAACAATACGGTCTGCAAAAGTGGTCTAGGGATGAGGTCTGGCCAAATGTAACCTAACATGCTACTCTGATCATGCCCTGAGCAGAGCTAGCAACATACCATGAAAGAAATACATATAACACACATCCACACACTCAAATACAAACGCACATACTGGTCTGTCTAATGTAATTTACACAGATATCATAGGCTAACAAACTTGACTCATATATACTGGTGTGGGAGCCTCCCACATTGAAGCAAGCACTAGCTAATCAGCGCAGACCAGGGCAGTTCCAATGTCCCTTGAGTCAGGAACTGCTAGCGGCAGCATACAAAATACAGACTTCCAACACTCTGCGTCAGTCAAAGCTACCCTTACATCAAGACAACTTGTCTGGAGCCCAGACAGCAACGTCAAGACTCCTAGCAACAACACTGTCAGCCAACACATGGAAGACTGGCTGGCTTGCAGTTATTTGGCCGCAGACCCAAGGAAGACCAGCCAGCTTGCAGTCACCCAGCCACCAATGCAAGGCATTTGTAGACTGATGAACCAGCCCACTGCGGCTGGAGTTTCACCTACATTCATCAGGCGCAACCTGCCTTAGAGATACGGCCCTTTTCAGGGGTCATGATACCTCGCTGGTTACCACACACTCTGCCTGCTTGCTTACATGCCCAAATACTCTTCTAACAGAAATATATATGTTTTAGAAATTTACGTGGCTGTTTCTCTGTGCTACCAGAACCGACAACCCACACAGGATGTTACCTACAGGTACATGAGCAAACTGTTACATCAAAACACTTCTTTCTGCGCGTAACACACATGGCACAGCAGCCAAAAGGGAAAGTAGAAACAAAATACCTTTTCATAAGCTCAATAACACTAAACTTATAGAACTTGTGATAACAGCAACAAGCAAGGCCCCCCTTGTCAATACTTGCCTACCTGAAAGCAGGTTTGAGGAGCTGATAGTTTGTTCCCATTTTTTAACCAAATAGTACTTAGATTTAAGTGTGGCAAGGTTTTGCAGAAGTTTACTAGTGATCAGATCCTTGTAATTACATGCACTGTATGCAGTTCTGAGCACCAGTTCCTGTATTTTTTCACCTGAACAGATATGCATTAGGTATAATCACAAGCATATTTTTTTCTGTAATACAATCACTGTGTTCGCTGATAAAATATGGTAAAATATGAACAGTATAGAGCAGGAAAAATAGATTGCAGAATATGGGTATATGCAACAGCATGATGCATTTGATTATGCTGCATTCCATTTCACAAAGTGGAATAACAAAAAATAAGAAGCAGAAATTGTTGAGCTTACATTCTGGCAGCATGCACTGTGGGCAAGGTGAGGTAGCGTTGAATCATGTTCTGATTGACAGCATTTGTCTGCAGCCAGAAGAATCCACCGCCACACATCAGTGTGAGCAAGGAATGGCGTATGGTGGGGTCCAAGCTGAGGCTGTTGGTAGCACAGTGTCATGCAAATCAATTTACTTACAAGCATTCAACATGGAAAACTAATTTGACCTTATACTTGGCAAGAGCATTAAATCAAATGTAGAGTACTATCACCATGTAGTCCCTTGCATGATGGCTGCCTACCTAACACACCCTTGCACTTCTTTCCTGTCATTTTCCTGCAATAGCAAAACCACCCCTTGTCAATGACAGCTTACACTCCTGTTCTAGTCTCCGCTTGGTTTGCTAAGTGGTTGTGTGAGAGCCCAACGGTTTCATTCTGTCCCATGGCAGGTCAATGGGAACTGAGGTCTAGTATTCCGTTTTCCTCCTGCTTCTTATATAATGTGAAGTTTCTGGTCAACCAATTATTCATCTTGCTAAGTACTTTCATGATGGTGTCCTGCTTGGCTTATTTGGCTCTGAAGATGGAGGTGATATGTTCATCCGAAACGTCGGTTGACTTTCTAAGGACTATATGGCATTATATCCCAGAAGATAGAACTCTTCATAGCTGCCACTGTGAGAACCTCAAATTCCACAAAAAAATAATACTTTCAGATTCACCACTGTGAGGTTCTCAAATTCAATATTAATTGAAATATGTGGAGAATTTATGATGTGAATAAAAGAACATAGTTCTCTTGTGTCCCGAATGTCATACAGAAACATTCTTGCTTATTAATTTTCCACATCTTTCTATTCACTACAGTGCCCCAATTGTATCACATTCTACCTCCTCTTATATCCGAGTATTTTGAATTTGATTTAGTCTGTCAGTTTTCTCCCTTCTTTGATGCCAAAGTTGTTCTGCAGATAAACATTTTTTAGCAAATTCCAACTGTACGAGATAAACAAAATCTGTTCAATAGAACTCTTTCAGGTAAAGAAATAGTTTCAAAATTTGTTTTTTTGCAAGTAACAAAACCTCAACATTCCTGAGTAATTTTTCAAAGTTTTTAAAATAACAACTCTAAACAAGAGTTTAATTTTGGGCATTTAGACAAATTAATAAATACTGTACTTTCACGGGATTGTAAAAATATGAATTTTCTTGCTGCTGATATTAATGCTATAGACTCCTACAGAGAAGTTACTACCAAAAGACAACACAGAAATTGTATAAAAAATAATTTGTATGATTATGACGTATAATAAACAGCATGCAATGAAAAGCCATCCTCAAATTATCAGACATACTGGATCATGACAGCCTAATTGAATCTATCTCACCAGCTCAACCATTTCTTAGCGTTTTCTCTGTACACATGACATACGTATTAATTCCAGTAATCTCATACAGCACGTTCCAGAATGAAGCACTGCAAACAGCTGTGACTTACTTCTTTGCCCCTTTGAGTGTTGGCAGAGCTAGGTACCGCTGTAACTGATACTGATTCATTGCGCTGCCCTGCAGCCAATGTACGAACCCTCCAATCACCAACACCCATACAGTGTGGCGAGTTGCAGGGTTCAAGTCCCAGCTAACAACATACCACATAACAATAAAAGTGGATTTCTCCAATGTCAACCAAAACATCTGTCAGTTACAAATTTATTTGTTTTCTTATACATGCAATTGTAATTTTAAGTATGAAGTTCAATAAACATAAAAAATGCTTGTAAATGAGTAAATATGTACATTTATATGCAACTGAAAATGTCTGGTTAGGATGCACATTCTACATGTATATTTGTTGAGGTTTAGAACATCCATCATGTACTGATATCTTTGATTATTTCATGAGACTACTCTGAGAAGATTTTTTTATTTACTAAATGAATAAATAAAGGAAGCTATCTACAATTTTAGCAATGATGGAACAAAGGAAATGAACTCATGTATCCTGACTGGTAAATAGCCTAAAATTACCAAAACATTTAATTAATGATGTTTTGAATTAGATGAAATCATGTTCATTAAATTATGGATATATAAGAGATACTATTCATATTCTTATATTCTTATTACTATTTAGTATTAGTATTAATATTAATCTTTGACTTGTCCCATATCATGTATACTGATTCATGGATGAAATAAAATTGAATTGAATTGAATATGATTCTGGAGGTGGCAAAGAACCTGATGAGTCCAAAAAGAGCTAATTATATTTTGAACATTCCCTCTGTGAATATAGTCTGGATAATAGAATAAATGGGCCTCCCTTGCTGGACAGGTAAAAGGTTGGGCATCAGAAGCAGCGTCATCAGCAGCGACTTGAAGCACAGAACAAATGATGCTCGAGATGGTTCAAGTTCGTATAGCAACAGGCGTGACCAGAGTGGTTTGAACGGCTGCTGTACTGCGATGTGGAAAGCAAATGGAAAAACTACCACATTATCACTTTTCCTGGATAGTCTCTTTCCAAAAACAGAAGATCGCATTAAGTGGAGGAACTGTTTTGGAAGAGATTGTGGACCTGTCGTCTGACAGATTACTGATGAATGAATGAATAGAATAAATATCAGTTTTCTACACAGATTTAGTTAAGTGTGCTAGTGACAGTAAAAGACATAAGCCAACAGTAAAATTTGTCTGTGAATCTTAACAAAATAAAGAATTGTTCACAATTATTTTCATACATATTCATATATTTATAGCAGCTTCAAATCTTCTGTTCATTTTCGTTACTCTCCAAACTTATGATTCATTGTTTTATACAATTTTATCTTCTTCCACCTCAGAGTTTTGATATTTATTGCCTGGAATGTTGATAATATTGACAATTTACCTGGTAATATTACTGTGGCACATGAAAGCCATTGCTGTATCTATACATCATCCAGTAGAAATTACACATTGCAGTATATTCTATGATAGTTCAACTTACATAGGAGCTTCAATGCGGCCACTTTCATAGTTACGTTCCCAGACAACTCTTAATCCGCCAACATCAATGGTCCCCTTAATAATGACAAACACCATGGCACCAAACATAATCAATGTCTGAACCACGTCTGTCCAAACAACAGCCTTGAGACCACCCTGTCAGAAGAGAAATCACTACTGATAGTAACAGGTTACATCAGACAACAGGAATAATTGTAAGATTTGAGGTTTTCATGGCAGTGACTATGAAGAAAGCCATCTTCTGGGATACGGCACAATCGGTTAACACAATATCTACAAGGTGCCACATCCCAGAAGACGGCTTTCTTCAACAGGAATCAAGTTTCCAAAATTAACAGCTTTAGGAAACCATTTTGAAAACCATGTTTTGTCTGAGAACTCACTTGTTTGCCATTCACACACCAAACTACTGGAGTTCACAGGTCATTTGCTGGCAATGAAGAAAGATAAAGCCACAACAATCATGCAATGTAATGTAAAGCATAGCTGTTAATAATATTACATGTAACATCCTGCTGCACTTCATTTAGTATCAAATGGTTTCACAGTCTCACATGCAGCATGGCTTTGTATAGAACTTACTAAAATTTATTAACTTGTGGGAACACCCCACATACTAACACGCGGTTTCGTCAGTCTAACAGACAGCACTCACTCCTAGTCAATATCACATTACCGCACGTTGCTGCCACCACTCAAATTTATACAGCACTCGATGTCCAGCCAACCTGTAGATAATCACGTGCGCTAGCCAATCAGCTCTCACAATTGCAACTGCAAGTTTAAGCTCCGCCCAGCAAGCATGGTATAAAAGCAGAACTCAAAGCTCGCAATCATCAGTTATCACATTCAGTTCAGAACGATCAGTCATCAGAGTCATCAGCTGTTCATGCGCCAAAGGCAGCTGCCGCAACTCTCAAGCAACCACGCTCTGCTATCAGACAGCTAACGTAGCTGCCACAACTCTCCAATCCGCTCCATAGGCAGCTGTTCCTGCCGGCGCATGCAGAACCACATCACCAGCTGGACAAACCAGCTGAATGGCTGTAAAGACTTGGTCTACTACAAAGGAGCAAATGCTGCCAGTGCACTCACGGCGGAACAAACTGCCCTTTTCAGGGCCAGCCAACTTTTGAACATCAACATTCCACATAGCTTTGCAGCTATTCTGTACATTCAATTTATACAATTTAATACATATGATTGTTACAGTTTTACGTGGTTGTCTCTTAGAACATCGACAATCCCACACACTTTAAAAGTATTACACGTCATATAGATTCTAACTTATTAAAAGTTATTCACTATCTGTTTAGACTTACAAGGTCAACATTAACAGATGTTTTAAAATTATAAAATTATAAATGAAGAAACTGCCATGCTTCCATATCCTGGTCATGGTGGAGGATATTTACTGAAAAGCTGACAGTTATCAACCGATAAAGAAATTCCTTGCTCTCACGGGACCTCAGGATTCTTAATTATGTCCATAATAGCCTGAAACTGGACCTAGCTGAATTTCATCTCCACCCTTACATCATATTTCTCAAGTTACGTTTTTATATTATCCTGTATATGTGTCTAAATCTCCAAGTGGTAACATATCTTGAGGCTTTAAAACCAAACTTTTATATATATTTATCCATTATCATGCATGTTACACATCTGGCCTGAACCTCCTCTTTAATTTAATCTCGTATTAGAGGAATATTTTAAATTTAAAATTATAATGTTATCCTCAGATCCAAACAGTTTCCTTCAGTTGTTGTCGGAGACAATAATTTAAAGTTCTGAAAATTTCTGTTGAATAAAGAGTCACAAACAGGCAACAAAGAAGGGGTGGTTCTCCAGGTAGGATGCTGAATGTGGGTCAAACATCCCTTGTCGTTAAAGCTAATACATCAAGAGGGACTTTGGCTGAGACAACTTCTTTGGAGAGAACACATTTTTTGTAAATTTTCCTGTGAATATTTTTTATAGTTATACCAGAATGTAACATTATTGGACATAGCTTTTTTTCCTATATCACAGTTTCAGACTGAAGTATTTGTAGTGCATTATATCTGCAGGATGTACAGAAATCCAAACAAATTTTTGTTCAGTGATCACTCACCACACATGTATAAAAGATGCAGACAATGCAGACAGCAGGTGTAATTATGTGCACATTGACTCCAGTTACTGGAAAAGAAAAGATTCATCTGCTTCAGGCTCCATGTACAGAAGAGTGTTACTGCAACTCAGTACACACACACATATAGAGTATTACTGACCCTGGTTAAATGCCAGTGCAGGAACATATATTACAATTGGCAGCCATGTTACCTGCAAGAGTGTAATAAGGCATTATATAATGAATTGGAAGACATATTCAGATCTGTGAATCTTCAGCAGACAATAAAATATGGCTCATTCTCACAATTAAAAATTAAATCTGGTCAGAAATATTCAGGGCACTGAATCATCATCAGCGATTGAATTATTGCTTACTACTGTAGTTAGAAATGAAATAAAGCCAGAAATAACCATTAAAAACCAACAGAGACTAGCTAAAAGAGTAACCTCTCAACTCCCTGCACCTACTGAAGAAGTTGATAACATCATCATACCCCTTTGCTTTCTCTCCCCAACAACTTTTAAAAAACTTAGTGCATGTCCATAAAATGGAGAAGCTGTTCCACCTCAGTATTGTTTGTAGGATGTAATACAACATTGTGGCCATGTGAAATCTGTTTTGAACGTCTGATTTGGTGGCAACATCTAATGAGCTAACAGAGCTTAATATTTGGAATCTTATATGGTATACGAGTATATCATTAATATACATATACATTATGTGCGAAATTTTGTTTTCAAATCTAAAATTAAAAGCATGATGATGGTGAGAAACTCCCTATATCTAATTCTATCAGTAGATATCCAGAAGTTTCAGGGATGAAATGTGCATACAGACAGACAGACAAGGCATCCTCCCTCATTTTCTTCGGCAAGGAAAGTATAACTTAACCTAATTTTAGAACTGCCCCTTCCTACACAGTACAGCATAGCACATGACACCATGTAGCTTAATACACTGAGAATGAGTGCAGTTACATACAAGTGCGAGGGAAAACAGGAATGAACCGAAGAGACGAACATGTTTGTTGAACCTCTTCTCCAGGTACTGAAACATACAAACAACACAGTACTTAAGGTAGTGGGCTCATCTGTGTTCACAGAAAATAACCTAATGAGTTGCTAAGCACATGGGATCACCAGTTAAGCTGTTCTGCTCTGTGAACATTCACAAGAAGCTCTATTTATTCATCACCCTACCTAACACACAGCACACTCAGTGACACATGGATCAATAGCTCTGCACTGTGTGCATAGATGAAAACATCCACTTGTTCATAAAACTAATCCATAGAGAGAATAATAGCAACCCACATATGACATTATATTAGAGTATCACATTTCGTTTGTTGACCACTCGATTTATGCGTGTAATGCTTTAGTAAGCACAACATTTTGGAGGTTGTTGGTTAGAACATCACTACTTCCATACTTTCATATATATGTGTGGCTGTAGATATGGTACATATTGGATATTACATTTATTGACCACTTGTATACAACACTCGGAACTACACTTTAGATATCACTGGCACACACAGACTAGTGTCCTCATTCATTTACAGTCTCCACTAGCCGTTTTCTGGCAATGGCTTCCACTGTGGGAGATTCTTCAGTTTCCCCAGCTAATGTCTCTTGTCACAGCCACCCATGCAGAACTCTTTGTCAACTGAAAACTCAACTAACTGGTTCCGAGACTGGCGGCCATTTCACACCAGCCTCTTTGTCTTCTCTTCACAGACTGACTTTCAGCTGAACTGAACTGCAACTGAACTCTCTCACTCACCAACCAGCTACTTCATGTCAGTTCACTCAACTGAACTGCTGACAACTCCTCGCTTCCGGAATTTGATTAAACCTGTTTATAACATTTCAGCATGAACCACATAGAAAACACCATTTCCATTGTCAAGGCCAACAATACCTCGACCATTGCATGCATATCATTTGTCGCGGGAACTGTTGTAGCCCATGTATTACTGGCATATTTATCAGTCGTTGTGTAGAAACAGGTGTTTGCTTATCCACTGATTGCATAGTATCAGCTGTACCCATCAGCAATGGGTCTATATGCTACCCTGTAGTCTAATAATTTGTGACATAAAAGACATATTAATCTAAAAGTTTATTTATTGCACAGAGGCACCACAGTATATTAAACCAAAGACACCCAGAAAATATACACTACCACAACAACCTACAGGAATGCAAGGAGAAAGAATATAAAACAACATAAAAGGTAAAGTTATCCCTGTAACAGGTCGTGGTGGCCCATAAGGTTGTGAGAGGTTAAGGCTCCCACATCTTCTAGACCAGGCATGTCTAACTCAACTTGTACAGAGGGCCACCTCAGCCCTATAAATAATAGTTCAGGGCCGCACATCAAAATAGAAATATACATTAGATTTTGATACAAGGAAATTTAATTCTATTTATTATATAGGAATAATTTCAATATAATTACCTAAAGTCACATATCTTACAGTTTTAAAAAGCAAGAGAATGCCATTTTTAACAAGTATCAAACAGCTTTTCAATATGTAAAAAGAGAGATTACACAAGAAATTATGTTAGAAATAACAAAACATTGAATTTCCTGTGGCCTGCTAATTTATGTCTGCGTGAGACTTCTTGTTTTCTGGTCTGCTGGAAAATTGTCTTTACAAAAAATATTTCTACTAAAATTTTAATATTGATTTTAATATCAATTAGCTCTAAAAGTTGAGGGGCCGCACTTTGTGGCTAAGAGGGCCACACGATCTCCACATCCACATGAGTTTGTAACTCCTGATAGGATTTATGGAAGTGAAATAAAGTATGGTATGGTATGGTATGGTATGTTTGGCACGGCTGTTCTAGACAGTAGGCTCACAGATGGCGGTAAGGTTGTCAGCCTTATTATGCACCGGCCGCCCTTTACCCCCCGGGAAGTTACCTGTTACTCGTTTCTGTTAGAGGCTGAGTCAACTCCAAGGCTATAGTGTGGCTGGAAGGATTAGATAAATTGAAAAAATTCACCTCATCAGGACTCGAACCGGCTACCTTCCGGCTTGTAGTAAAGTGCCTCAACAAACTACGCTACTGCGTGCCCCAGTGTAGAAGAACATATAGCTCATAATTTTAAAATTATGTTAACTGGAATCTAACTCGGTTTTTCAAACAAACTTTCAGGCTTAACATAACTTGTGTGCCATTAAATATTAGAATACAGTTCAGCAATTTATACCAATTGCTATATACACCTGCTAATGGCCCCACATGATTGATATGTATCATAAATATGCATAAATTTATGAATTTAATGGTGTTCTAACTAAAAAACCCAAGAAATGACGTGTTTTCAAGACTATTACAAATATGTACTGTCATGATTGTGATTCCTAGATGGGGTTTGGGTTTGATGATTTAATTTATTGACACCTTATACACTCAACTTGTAATTACAAACAGTTAGAGCGCTATCGCTATTTCCACGTTTTACAGTTCTCTGTTACACACACACTAATGTCCTGGGTCTTCATTAGTTGTATCCTGGCAATGGATTCATCACAGTCTCACTGTAACTGCAGCAAACTATGAAGTCTTCCTTTCTTGTCATTTCTTCTCAATCATTCTGCTAACTGCCAAATCTGGAGACACTCAATTCTCTGCCCCAACTGCCACCTGTCTCGCTGTCATATCTTCCCAATTATCTTTGCACAGCTCAACTCTCGCCTAACTGCTCGCTTGGAACTCCAGAACTCAACTCACTTTTCTCAGCTGAACTCGTCTTTATAACAAATTTTGCATGGACAGAAAACATCGTTTCCAACAATACCTCTATTATCGCGTGTTTACCGATCCATTGTTTCTATTGTTGCATGCGTAACCGTTGCCGCGGGAATGTGTTTACCGAGCCGTTGCCTGGCAATGGATGTGTCCTGTGGCTCCTCTATTACGGCGTTCAGCTGTCATGTTACAATATTGAGTTCCCACAGGTGAATTAATCTGTCCTGTGTTCAGATATGGAAAAACTAACTTTAGGGTTATTCTGTCATGAACATGCTATCTGATATGAGAGACGTAATTGTACATATATAAAACCTATACTATATGCTGTTTATTATTTATACGAATATTAGAAATGTATAACAGGGTCCACCAATGTAATATTACGGCCCTGAGTTCACTGTCTAGAGCTTAGGAAATTTCTTACAACTCTCACAGCAAAATAATGGAGCACAAAGTTCACCTCATATGTGGATGTCAACTGGAGATCATGGAACACTGGGAGATAGGCCGAGCCCATAGTGATCCCCATTGCAAGGACTCCCCCTACTATATACACATACTGTATCCCGTAGACATAGACCTCTGTCGGCGTCCCTAGTAATGTGATGCCAGAGATGAAGCTGTAAGCAAAGTCAACATTTTGAAACATGAGCACAGGATTGCAGAAATAAGCATGTGTAATGGAGACCGACTGACTAACCATGCAACTATGGTATGGAATGGCCAAAAATTAAATATGTGCAAGGAAAGAAAAATAAAAGTATATATTCCACAGTACTTCATATAGCTAACCACCGTGATGCCCCCTGAAAATCGGCAGGAATTTTTAGATTTCTCTGTCAATGCTACAGGACCCATTGACTTCTCTGTCATAATAATATTCAGTCACAAACCACAAAGTTCTTTGTTATGTAACTCCCGTCATTCCCTACTTAGTGATACTGTAACACGATGTATAATGTCTTTAGAGGGGTTTGGATTGATAAGCGGGTTTATTGAGCTCTTACAGCTTGTAACTACAAGAAAAGGTCATGCTCTCACTGTTCTACACACTACACAAATCACTATAAGACACACTAGGTCTTCTCAGTCTGTTACAATCTTCACTAGCTGTTGCTTGGTAGCGGCTTTCAAAAGCGGATAGTCGCTGGCTTCCCACCGCGGCGGCCCGGGTTCGATCCCGGGTCTGGTCAAGTGGGATTTGTGGTGGACAAAGTGGCGCTGGGACAGGTTTTCTCCGAGTACTTCGGTTTCCCCTGCCAATCTTCATTCCACCAATTGCTCCACAATCACCCTCACCTATCATCTGGGGCTGGTACAATAGGCCAGAAGCGGGCGCAGTACAAGGGATTTAATCCCATCCCACTAGTAATAAAAGAACTAACACTTGAAAATATTTAATATAATAGACAATGTGCCACATAATATTTATATGATAGAGAAATATTGCATATTGCAGAGTTTCAGCCTAGTGGCCTACCTTGCAATGAGTGACATAGCCACAGGAAAGGTCTGCATATTGCGCCCCCCCATCAGATAATCTGCCTCTGACAATTTTCCCGTGCAGAAACCATAGTAAACACCAATCATGGCACAAACCAGGAGCATTGACACAAACACGACGTAATCGGCTGGTCCAAACCTCCGCATAGCCATTCCGAGATATTCCACTGAAGCCCTCGGCACATCCATCATAGCTGTGAACGCAACGAAAATCAAGACAGTAAATGTCTGCAGTACACTTCCTCCACAGCAAATGTATGGCTATACTGCATTACTTGCTGTCCAGAGCCTCGTTTTTAAAAATACGGTCAGAAATTACTTACTTGACACCACAACTGGCATCAGCATTCCAACTAAAGTGCAGGCTGTATTGATGTGCAGCTGAACAGAAACACAGGGTGGCTATTCTGTCTACAGTCCTTTCGACCTTCGCCGCTTTTCAGTTTCTTAATCTTATGCTCAGACGGTAGGCCTCTCAAGGCCGCTATGTACACGCAGAACAACAAAAAAACAGAATAAATGCAGACAGATATCCATGCCTCCACTGGGATTCGAACCCACGACAACACTATTCGATCGGGCGTAGACAGTGCGGCCACTGTGATCGGACAGGATTATTTTTTCCGCTAGTGGGGGGGTGGAATCCAACTGGGTCTACTCGGCACGGCGGCCACTGATTGGCCTGTTGTACCTGTCCCGGGTGATTACGATGATGGAGAATTTGGTGGAATGAAGATTGACAGGGGAAATCGAAGTACTCGGAGAAAACCCGCCCCAGCGCCACTTTGTCCACCACAAATCCCACTTGACCAGACCCGGGATCGAACCCGGGCCGCCTCGGTGGGAAGCCAGCAACTAACCGCTTGAGCTATGGCGCGGCCATCGGATAGGAAGACTACTACTCCTGTAAATTGCAATAAGCATATCAGAATCATATCTTCAGGAACAAATGAAGTTGGGGAATTGTTTAGAAATGACAATAATGATTCTGTTGGCCTCCCAACTTCCTTGTATCTGTTTCACAATGTGGTCGAGAGCACTCAGTAGATCCCATGTCTGGACCTCGGCTTACAGACAGCTACAGCCGCAGAAGTTCCTCGTGATTGCGACGGTATATCAGGAAAACGTCTAATGATAGTACTAAGAAACAGATCACAATCGCTTCCTTCCCTATCGATTGCAATTCATCTGCAGCCAGTAGGCCTTTTCATGCTGAGTAGAGCGCCCATGTGGAAGAACGGTGAGGACACTGGCTCTAATAATATGAAGTTGCAATGCCATCCAGCGCGCGGAGGTTAACCTCCCCTTCACCAAGATGGAGGCAAGATGGCGCAAGATGGCCATTGTCTCATGTTGCGATCCTGCACTTCACTAACACGAAGGTGGAGCTTGACATTCAAATACTGATATCATACTGCGTCACCGGTCGCGCAGGAATTCGGCACCTGGATTTTACTCTCAGGAAATTGTCATCATCATCATCAGTAATCTGTCAGACGACAGGTCCACAGTCTCTTCCAAAATAATTCCTCCACTTAATGCGATCTAGAGCTTTCTCCTTCAAATGAGAATATCCTCTTCTGTCCCCAAGGTCATCCAGCATCTTGTTACGTCTTCTGGTCACTTCTATCCGCCCCTCTATCTTTCCTTCAATAACTTCTACCAATCCAATTAGCCTTCCGTTTCCTTATTTCGTGTAGGATATTCCTCTGCTCACTGACTCTAATTCACACTTCTTCATTTCTCACATAATCGGTCCAACTGATCTTCTCTAACACCACATTTCGAAATTTTCCAGATGCTTCTGATCTACTGGAAAGTTTCGAAATTTTCAGGAAATTGTAAAGGCTAAAAATATTGCAATAATATGTAATACAATCACACGCAAATATCGTAGGATCCGAATATTTTCACCAGGGTGAAGTCACGCCTGTGTGTCTGTATCTATGCTTTATTAACCAACGAATTCAAAGATCTTTTAGTACTGGGAAGGGACTTTACACGAAACCTGTGCATCTGGTTCACATCAACCCACTAAAACACCTCATTTTCAAGAAAGTTAATCAAAGTCCTTACTTATTCAGAAAGTAGTGGAGAAACGTTCACTCAAACTATGGATTTGGTCGACATCAGTCTACGAAATCTCTTGCTTCTTACGAAGGTCAATTGAAAATTTCACTTGTTTCACTATCTAGTAAAATGAAGACGCTTAATGGTTACGTATTTGATTGGAGGTTTTCACTAAAACTGAGAGTTTGATCGGCATCAAGCCACTTGAACGCTTATATTATAAGAAACTCAGTCGAAGTTTTCAATTATTTCTGGAAATAGCAAAACTAAGAGGTGACACGCGGTAGCGTAGTTGGTTGAGGCACTTTGCTACAGGCCGGAAGGTCGTGTGTTCGAGTCCAGATAAGGTAAATTGTTACAATTGACCTAATAATTCCAGCCGGGCTATGGCCCTGGGGTCGGCTCAGCCGATAACAGAAATGAGTACCAGGAATCTTAATGAGGGGTAAAGGGCGACCGGCGCTTAAGTCTGACAACTTCACATTTGTAAGATTTGAGGCTTTCACGGCGGTGACTATGAAGAAAGCAGTCTTCTGGGATTTGGCACCGTGTATATGTGGTGTTAACCGACGTTTCGGAGGAACGTATCGCCTCCATCTTCAGGGTAGAAGAAAAATATAAGAAATCTGCAAGCGAAGAGACCGTGAGAACCGGTAAAAGCAGACTGTCCTACTTTTTAAAAAAGTCAGTCCACAGTCAACCCGCTAAAATCCCTACAATTGAAGTCTGCGCTTATTTCAGAAACTAGTAATATTAGGACATGCAATGAATACTGGGAAGGAAATTTCACTGAAACCGTGGGTTTGGTCTGTGTCCTTCCACTGAAACTCCTACTTCATACCAAATTCAATAAAAAATTTCAAAAAGTATTAAAATTAAGACCTGTGGAAACTACTGGGAAGGAGTTTTTACAAACCTGCGGATTTGTTCAGTGTCAGTCCACTAGAGAGCTCCTACTTTTTAGGAAGCTCAATCGAAATTTCAGTTTATTTCAGAAACTAAAATCATTAAGAAACTATGTAGAAACTATCTGGGTAGAATTTTCACAAAAATTTGTGAATTTGTCGATATCTGTCCACTAGAACTGTACTTTCTACGAAGCTTGACTGACGCTCTCGCGTATTTGGATGAACTGTGTCACTGTGCTAGGGGTACAGACGTAACCACTTGCCTTATCAGCAGGACATCGGCCGGGATATTCTGTCGCACTGATGTCCTGGGCCGACCGCTCGCTTCCTTGGCGCTGTGCTAACTAGTTAACCGAGAGAGGCTCCCTTTCTAGACCGCTGTGGCCCACAAACACTATTGATATGAAAACATGTTATGTATTTCCTGTTTGACAAACTGCCTGGAGTAAAGTCTTCTATGAAATCTAATGGTCGCTCAGCTAATCAAGAAATATTCCACTTCTTATATAGCCTAGAGTGTTCCTTACTTATTTAAAAAGAAATCTCACGGCTGGCCCCTATTCTGAGCCAGATGTCTTCAGTGCACACCCACTTTTGTTTAAGAACCGGGATAGCGCAGTCGGTATAGCGACTGGGTACGAGCTGGACGACCCAGGTGTCGGGGTTGGAATCCCGTTGGTGGCAAGAATTTTCACTTTTCCATGTAGTCCTGACGGACTCTGAGGCCCAACCTATGTAACGGGTACCGGGGGATATTTTCTCGGCGGTAAAGCGGCCGGGGCCTGAAGCTGAACACTCAAATCCAACTAGTGCCGAAGTCAAAAAGCGTGGGCTTATAAAGCCATTCCTCAACACATCTTCATGGCGTAGTGCTTAATTGTTTAAGCACAGGGACAACTCTACCCTTTTTGCCTCCCATATTTGCTTAGGTATGAACTGCGGTCGCCGGTCACGGTAGCCGAGCGGTCTAAGGCATGCACTGTCTTCTCTCGCTCGGAAGCCGGGATCGTGGGTTCGAATCCCACTCAGGGCATGGATATTTGTGTGCGTTTTTCTGTGTTTGTGTACATATAGAGTCCCAAGGCGTCTTACCGTATGTCTAAGATCTAGAAAAACCGAAGTGAACGGAGAAGTTCATGGAGTTAGGCCTAGGCCCACTGGGGCTGTAGTGCCAAGGGGAAAAAAATGTACTGCGATCTTCTCCCTTCATAACTACTGAATGGAACTTCGACCCATACATCCGAAATGCGTAAAGCACATTATTCTGACTCCATTCCTCCTGTCATGACACCCTGACGTTCACGTCATCCTCAACGCCTTGCACCCGCACACACACACACACACACAGAACGGCTGTTTGGCGTGTAGATAGCAGAGGGGGAGGAATTGAAAGGCAGGAAGAAGGCTGCAAAGTGAATGTGCTCACGTAATTTTAATTGTTACTTTCGTCCCCTACCCTTGTAACTGCAATACATCTACTTATTTTGCATGAATGTGTTACATTCCACCGGATAAACATTGCTGATTCCAAGCGGTCGGCAAGAACTTGATGCGTGAAGTGGCGTGCAGGGCGGCGGCGAGGAGACCTCCGGGCTTAGGTGCATAAGCTATAAAGCAGTGCTTCTGGAGTTGTGCACGGTGTAAGTGCAGCAAAGTTACCCAGAAGAGCGTTCCTTCTTGACAGTCTGATGCAATATATTTACATACAAACTGATAACTCCGAACGACTTTAAGCCCCCAGTGTAACTTAAGAAAATGACTTGAAACATACTCTACGTGGAATGTGTTACAGCAATGTTATGGTGTGGGATGGATAAGGCGTATGGTTACTTTAATTATTCCTTACTGATATTCTGTTTATTAATTTGTTATTGGAAACAGACAGTTAATGCAACTGAATCTGTGTTGTTACTTCTGATAGAAGATCTACTAGTACGTGGAAGTGGATATTGTTAAACTTTTCTTAAAGGACATAATGGAAGGGTGTGGATTGGATTAATCTGGCAGGATATAAAAGCCACTGGAAGGCTTTTATGAACATATTAATGAATCTTCGTTTTGTATAAAATGCTCGGAATTTCTTGACTAGCTCAGCGGTTCTCAAATAGATATTATTACACTTTTCTTAAAGGAAATAATGGAAGGGTGTGATTGGATTAATCTGGCAGGATATAAAAGCCACTGGAAGGCTTTTATGAACATATTAATGAATCTTC